GCTCTCAGTGCTCTGGCCGCATGATTTTATACTTGTCTCCCAGTTGTCTCCCAGTAAGCTCTCGATGCTCTCAGTGCTCTGGCCGCATGATTTCAGGCTTGTCTCCCATTTGTCTCCCACTTGTCTCCCAGTAGCTCTGAGTGCTTGGCCGCATGATTTCACACTTGTCTCCCATTTGTCTCCCACTTGTCTCCCACTTGTCTCGGAGTAAGCTCTGGATGCTCTGAGTGCTCTGGCCGCATGATTTCACACTTGTCTCCCACTTGTCTCCCAGTAAGCTCTGGATGCTCTGAGTGCTCTGGCCGCATGATTTTATACTTGTGTCCCATTTGTTTCCCTTGTCTCCCAGTAAGCTCTGGATGCTCTGAGTGCTCTGGCCGTGTGATTTCACACTTGTCTCCCACTTGTCTCCCAGTAGCTCTGAGTGCTCTGGCCGCATGATTTTATACTTGTCTCCCATTTGTCTCAGTGCTCTGGCCGCATGATTTTATACTTGTCTCCCACTTGTCTCCCAGTAAGCCCTGGATGCTCTCAGTGCTCTGGCCGCATGATTTTATACTTGTCTCCCATTTGTCTCCCACTTGTCTCCCAGTTGTCTCCCAGTAAGCTCTGGATGCTCTCAGTGCTCTGGCCGCATGATTTCACGCTTGTCTCCCATTTGTCTCCCACTTGTCTCCCAGTAAGCTCTGGATGCTCTGAGTGCTCTGGCCGTTGTCTCCCAGTAAGCTCTGGATGCTCTAGTGCTCTGGCCGCATGATTTCACACTTGTCTGCCATTTGTCTCCCACTTGTTTCCCACTTGTCTCCCAGTAAGCTCTGGATGCTCTGAGTGCTCTGGCCGCATGATTTCACACTTGTCTCCCACACGTCTCGACTTGGCTCCCAGTAAGCTCACTTGTCTTCCACTTGTTTCCCATGGCCTGTCTGGATGCTTTGTATCCCCGGGCTTGGCTGGATGCTGGGCCGATTAATTTTAGCCCTTGTACGGCGTCCCATTGTAAAGTCAATGAAAAACAAAATTTTATTGCTTTCCCTTTGAATCTTGTATGTGCGTCTACATGGTGGACTATAGTTTTCTTCCTCTAGGAAATACTGCTGGCCATATTGTTCGGAGATCTCATTTTTGAACATTGCTCTGTTTGGGGCCTACGCTGGTATAATTTGTCAGACTGTAGGACATCACTGGCAACGATGTAAAGATTGTCCAGAGCATTTTTGATGTGGTGCACGACGAGGAAACCAAGGAGGCGCGTGGATGTCTGCTGCGCGGTGCCGGACTGTGCATACCCACCGAGGGGCGGGACGAGGGATTGCATCTTAGACGACCTGGTGGACGGATGGAAACTGAATAAATGGCTTTTGGGAGACGGACGGACCCTGAACGGACCCTGAACGGACCGTGGGTCACATGCTGACACTGGCTGACTCCCCTTTCTGGCTTCGGTAGGTGGAAGAAGGCAAGGAGCCGGTGGACAAGTCGGCACGCATCATTCCAACCGATCAGGATGGGTTGGGCAACGATACTGTGGAGTGAGCCTCAGAGCTTCAGTACACTCTGGGACTGGAGTTTCTTTATATTGAGCTTGTGTAGGCTCTTGCTAGAGCTTCTTGAAGTCAGAAAAAGGTAAAAGCATGGATGAGGTTATGCTCCTAGCATATAGCTTTATTGTTACTGGTAGAATGGCCAGGAGCCCGTTCGTAGGGTCCTTGCTCCGTTCGTAGCGATGCCCTTTGCTTCACATCTTCCTGCAGGAGCGGAGCAACTCCGACTCCGTGATTGGGGTCAGCGTCGCAGTCTTCGGCTTTGCCTGTGTGGGGCTTTGCATCTACTCCTGCATTCGGGCCAGGGAGGGTCGGATGCATGGGTGAACAGGGAGAGATGCTGAAGGGGAGAAATGGGTTCGAACACTTCTTTGTTGAGGCAATTTCAAACACCAGCGCCGAAAATAGAAGATCTGGCACAACCAATGCTGAAAATGGTTGCTTTCGACTGCAGCCAAAATTCCAGCTGCATCGAGATGAGACAAAATCTCCACCCGCAAGTCCACCCGCGTGATGACATATAGTGCCCGCGTCAACTCGCTGCGTGTACGACTCCGTTGGAGGCCAGAAGTCGTGTGAAGCAGAAGCTTGGCAGCGCTGTGTCGAAAAGGCTCATGAAGCGTGCACAGGTAGGCGACACACAGCTGGTGATCACCAACATTGATGATTTGAAGGCGAGGGGTGCTACCTTAAAGATTTCTGGCCCTTCTTTACGTATCCGGGCGTGTGTTTTTCACGGAAGTCTTAAAGCCACCCCCTTTTTAAAGTTGTCCAGTTGTCCTGCTTCCCTGTTTCCCCTCTTTTGATCGAGTGGTGTTTTGATGTGCCAGGTGGGGGATGAGGTGCTGCTGGGGAAAGAAAAGATCACCATCAAGGAGATCGCCATTGCAGTGACCCTGTCCAACGGCCTGGCCAAAGCATGCCAGTCAGGCGATGCCGTGGCTCTGTCCGACGAGGGAAGCGGTGGAGGAGGCGCTTTGTCCAAGGACGTTGTGGAGGGTGAGAAGGAGCTTCGGGTGACCAAGATGCCGCAGTTGAAGAAAGGCGATGTCCTGAAGGTTGGTGCCAATGAGAAGGTTACGGCAGCATGGCCGCAGAACATCTGAGGTTCTGACCTGGTGTTGGGGAGAACACGTGTGCCCAGCACCAGAGTGTGAGAAGATTCGTGGCAGAGCTGTGTCGAGCTAAGGTGAAGAGCATCAGCAAACTCCTTACCATTTCGCCTGCATTGAAATCGGCTCACATCATTGGGACCAAGATCCAGAAGCCAGGCAGGGTGAGGCCTAGGGGCCTAAGGCCTGTTGATCTTTTTCTTTGCGAGACGCTATTAGGTGGAGGCCATCGCTATAAGGTTGGAGGGCATCGCTATTGTCATTTCTTTTTGCAGGTGAGACAGCCACCGACACAGAAGTGGGTGAGCCAGACTCCCCAACGGCTGCCAGCGCGGCGGCCGCCAGCGAGACTGAGCCGGAGGGCACGGTGGCCCCCAAATTGGAGGGGGCGGAGGGCTCTCCAGCCCAATGAAGCCCCAACTTGATGCACAGTTCAGGAGGTCAGAGCCAAGATCTCTAAGCTGGTGACCATGGACGTGGGAAGCCAGGTCTCTTGCACTTCACACGGGCGACGTCCTCCGTCCTCCGAGAGTCCTGAACCGCAGAGGCGGCCAAAAAGAGGAAGCGCCTCGTATTTGCCTTGAGAGTCCAAGGTGTTTGCCCACAAAAAAGAATGGTTTCATTCAACGGCCCATGCATCCAGGAAATCGAACATGGAGACAACATGGAGACAAATCGAACATGAATTCTAACAAGGTGTACGGACGAAAACATGAGTTTCTTCTTTCATCCGGCAATAGAAACATGGAACAAATTCAGACCTGTATCTGGGTGACCCTTAGCAGCCTTCGCAGCTTTGGTGCTTTGACTCCGCAGCCTTTGCGAGACGGGAGGTGTCGAACGAGCTCATGACTCTCCGCCGCTTGAGACTGCAGGCTTCGCTCGAACGGGAGCGAAGATGGGAGTTACTCAACAGGTTCACACGGGAGTGCCAACTTCAAGAAGGAGTTCCAACATGTTCTCAGCCAAGTCTGTGGGAGATTTGTTATTTCTGGAACACCAAATCATGTTGAATGACCGTTTGGTTCCGTTTCTTCGCACGGGAAAGCCGCTTGGAGCAGCCGATCTGCGCTTGTCAGGTTGCCGGTGTTTTGGCCTTGTGTTGCCCTCAGACACATGCTACGTGCTGCTGCATCCCGAGACTGGAAGCTTCTATTTCCAAGAAGAGTAACGCAGGTGAGCTCACCAGAATCATTATATACTTGTAGCAACATCAATATGCGCAGAAAGAACATGAGCAAATATGAAAGACTTTCGTTTTTCTTCGGACAAATGGATTGTTGGGGGCTTCCAATCGAAGTTTGCAGAAGGTCTTGGTTGCAGAGCTCTTTGCGTTTGGACGTACACCAGAAGAGCACAGACCACACGGGGAGCACAGACACAAATTGGCGTGGGTGACCAGCAAGTCCAATGTTGGCTATACTTGGGACTTGGGGGGGACATGGGGTGACCAAACCAGTCGCCTGGAACTGGAACGTTTTGTTGTGGCACTCGAGAAAACCTGACCCGGCACTCGCGAAGCTCAGACTTTGTGGCTGGCGAGTTGGTCAGGCGTGCGGGGAGAGACGGAGAGACCTGCTAGTAGCGTCCTTGTTACTAGTAGTACGGCCAGGAGCCCCTAGTCGCGTCCTTGCTCCTAGTAGTACGGCCAGGAGCCCCTAGTAGCTTCCTTGCTGAGACAAGCCTCGGGCATGCAGCACTTGCAGCTTGCTTTTTTCCTCAGGAGAGTAATTACGCAGACTGAAGAGCATCACTTCACAGGGTTCATCACAGCGCTTTTGTGCTCATGGTCATGAGAAACATGAGAAATCCCTGTGAAGGACGAACATGAACATCCTGAAGGTCTATAGTTTCATTGCCCAGACTTCGAAGATCATCAGTCTTGCTTTGCCTTGTGGCCTTCCTGACTGCCCACTGGCAGGCCTGGCTCTTCCCACAGGCACGAGGGTGACACTGGACATTGGGTTGGAACAATAGCGGTGGCAGGCAAGGATAGGTCAGCAAACTGGAGGCCCCAGATATCAGTGTTCTGATCCCCAAGCGCGGGACCCTTGTCGGGTGGTTGACCATTCTTCGTCGCAGTTCACTACATGCAAAAATAGGTGAAACGCCAATTTCAGCTCTACAAAATGTTCAAGCCTTTCTTCCACTGGCAGTTGTGGAAAAAGAGGGTTACCAAACCGTTAAACCTGAATTTCTGGAGAATCACCACAGGTGTGGACTCTTGATTAAAAGAGAAAAGCACATGAAGAGGATTGATCGCTTCCAAATCGGGGGAGAGAGGGGCCATGATCGCTTCCAAATCGGGGGAGAGAGGGGCCATGATCGCTTCGAGGCTGGGGCCACGCGCCGGGAGGTGCTGGGCCTCGCAGGCTCTGCTGACCGCCGACTGGTTCGTTGAGGGGCGAAGGACGAAGGTTGGGAAGGAATGAGAAGCCCAACAGGTCTTTTTTGGGAGTTCATTGGATTCATGGATATTGGAAGATACTTGAATGTATTTGATAGTGTTCGTTTTTTTTGTTTTTTTAAAACAGTAATTTGTATTGTGAAAGGTCTTTGGTTCCGCTATACCTCCAGTGAAACTGGAGATGGATCTTTCCATACCTCCACATGAGAAGTGTATGGTTCTTTCACTTCTTTCACAGAGCTTTTGAGCTTTAAAGTTAACATTTGATTTCTATTTTCTTAACCCTTTCAGGAGGGTTGGATGTGGTTGACGCCTTCACTTGACGGTTCCCTTGGACCTGGGCGTTTTCATGTCTTTCTGAAACTTTCTCCAGGCCTCGGTGCGATGATGCAGGCCTTGGTGGCTCCAATTGGGTAGGAATTGTTGCATTGATGAGACATGATAGTCTATGATGAGTCCTAACAAGGGAGACCATTGCCGGGGCAAGACTCAGTTGCACTCAACGAACCAGCTGTATAGAGGGGAGGCTGTATTCACTTCGAGCGCCAACAGTTCGTTTGGTATTCTACAGCATGGAAACCCTTGATGGAATAGCCGCTAGCCGTTATTTGCGCAAAGTATGTATATAGGTCCAGTGACCATGTTGAACATTGATCTGCCAGTTGGAGTGAGTGGCTTCTGTGTAGTGCTGATCCCCAGGAAAGAACGAAACATGCCATTCACTCTACAGAACGGATTTGCTTCAGTGAGTTCACTCTCTTTCACCATCATTTTCTCCTTGAACAGGCCCGCCAGATGTCCACCCAAACAACACCAGCCCACCAGAAAGTGGGGGGACATGGGGCCAAGATGAAAAAGGCTGTCGCCGGTCGACCAAAGGCTTGTACTTATTACTTGTACCAGGCAAACTTTGACCCCCACATTTGAAGGTTCATATCAGTCTTCTATAGTTGTCAGGGAAGAGTGACATTTTTGGGACTGTGTGTCCATCCCACTAGACCACCAAGGAGAGCAAAAGTAGACAACCAAACCTTCAGCCATCTCACCATCCTGGGAGCTGTGGGTCTAGGCGGAGCCGGCACTGGCCAGTGGAGGTTCCACGGCCCGGTTACCCCAGATAGAGGAAACGTGAAAACTTTACTTGAACATTTTGTAGCCGGTTTTCGCCCAGAGAGCGAGTGAGTGAGTGAGCGAGTGAGTGAGCCGGCTAGAGCGAGAGCGAGAGCTAGGAGCCAGCAGCTAGAGTGAAGCGAGATGGATGGATAGATAGATGATAGATGGATACACACACACACAGGGGATGATCCAGCACCAGCTGTGTACAGTGTAGAGGGCGTTTCTGGCATGGTGGACATTGCTCTTCTGGGCTCCAATCTCATTTGTCATCCTCACCATCTAAAGGGTCGACCGCTCCACAAAACATTGGCCAGCTTTCAGCTTTCGTTTTGTTTTGTCCTGTATACTGTATATATATAGAGCCGCTTCCACAAGGCATCACTACGAACAAAGTGGTTTTCCTGATCTCAGATATGTCAATTCGCTTCTCTATGACCGATCTTAACCTCAGATCACCCCCTTCATCCTAAAAGGGACAATGCCTCCCCCCTCCATCTCCACCATCCCTAGCGAGGCAGGAAAGTACTCCACCATCCCCTCTGGAAAGAGGAGATTTTATGGACGAGTCCGACAGGGCTTGTACGAGCGCCTTTGGCTGCGAGCGCTGTGTGGCGTGCGTGTGGGCGTGGGGGTTGCGTGGAGGGTTGCGTGGGGGGTTGCGTGTGCTGCGGTTGCGGGAGCTGTGTTCCATGGGTACAGGCCACGAGAAGAACTTTGCATGTGAGGCTAGCATTTAGCAGTTCGGGTTTGATTGAACAGGGGAAGTTTAATGAGTGGTAGGTCTAAAATTGTCAGCAGCACTGACAAAGACTTCATATACAGTTTGCATCAGTCAGAGTGCTTCACCTTTGTCCTGAGGTATCTGAAAATGGAGCCTGCAATCAAGGCTGGAGATCTCAAGGTGCCTCTGAAACCGTGTGTGTGGTTGTTCAATCGGTCGTCAGACGGTTTCTTTTTCTACGGCGGTGTCGATTGGACGGCACGAAGGATGCACGACGGATCGTCCCGTCGATGTCGATGCTTTTTGAGGCGACGGAAGTGGAGGAGTTCTTCAGCGGCGACCTCAATGACTGTGATTCAGTGGGCTTGGGCTAGACTCGACTTGTCCGGTTGAGGTCCATGGGGGCCAAGTGATCAAAAGGGGGAGAAAGTTACAGCTAGGTTTTGCTTGTCATCTACTCTATATTGTCCTGGGTGTGAAGCTGAACGCCACGCTTGGCTTGTCCAGAGCGCCTCGCAGACGCTTTCCGCCTCGCACACGCCACGTGAGCATGGTGTTGCACTTTCAGGCATGAACATCGTGAAAGTCAAAGGAGGAATGCCAATGAAGAACTGCGGCCTGCAAGCTCAGCAGGGGTGTGAATGAGCAAATACTTGGCCTTGGACACAAAATAATGTCTGAAATCAGCCCAATGAGGAAGCGAGCTGTGACAAAGCTGCGCCATGTGCTGTGGATCTAAGGATTTGGTGGCAACTGCGTCACAAAGGAGAAGAGGCGTGGACCGGTATGGCGGGTCTGATCGACCTGGTCGATAGACACCTGGGAATTCCGGCCACAACGATCCATGGTTCCATCGGTTCTTAGAGTGGATCAAGGACTATCCTTGTGGCATCCCAGATGGTGCATCTATCACCGTTCCTGGAGGGCACCTCCGGCATGAAGCAGTGTTTTAAAAGAACTTTGACACATGGAGAAACAAAGGCGGTCGAAGTGAGTGCTGTTATTTGCTCCCCCCGTTGATCATGAAGCTAACGCACTCATTCTGAAGCAAGCAACGCGCCCCCTGCTTCAGCGGTTGACCCCCAACCGTATTGAGTCCAAGTGAAGGCTTTACGTGAAGCACCTCGAAAAAAGATGCGCAGAATATAGTAGAAGGGAAGTGGAGTAGACTCATGGGTAGGGTTTGAGGGCCCCTCATGGTACCGGAGCCTCGCATCACAGGACCAGCGTCACGGTTTTTCGAAGACCTGGCGGACGGGAGGACGTCGCGGTGGCTGGACTTTAAGACCGCCACCGACTTGTTGGCCTCAGTCTTGAGATGGATGGGGTCTGTCTGGATGAGCAAAAGAGGGGGAATACTGGGAACGGGGGGCTGAAGTGATGCCTAGGTTCATGTTTTCATGATGCGTTCCTTTTTCCGAGCGAGAACCTATGCTTTTGAGTACGAGTAGAAGGAAAAGAAAGTGTGCTCATGGAAAAGGTTTCGAGTGACGAGCGCTGGCCGCTGGCCAGGTCATGGCAGCCAACTTTGTTAGTCTTTGCAAAGAACCACGGAGGTAGGTTGTTGCTAGGACTAGGCGCGGCGCTACCCTTTTGATGGGGCGGTTGCTCGTTTTTGCACGCGTTCGAACAATCGTTTTTGCACGCGGATGGATTCAATCGTTTTTGCACGCGGGAGTATCTTATGAACGCAATCTTATGCATATATATATATAGTTTTTTTTTTTTTATTTTTACTTTTTTATTTTAGGTATGTATTTTTTCAATATCTTTCAGCGCTTCAGAGTCACACCGTCTGGTTGCTAACTGCAACCCACCCCACCCCACCCCCCACCCCCACCCCCCCCCCCCCCCCCCCCTCAGCTTGCGTGGCAGAAGTGTGCTTTGAAAGGCAATCAAAACGTGTGTTTGTGTGTGTAAAGATGTTGACCGTGTCCAATCTGGCAACCCTTTCAGCACTTCAGAGTCACACTGTCTGGTTGCTGACTGCAACCCACCCCACCCCCCCCCCCACCCCCACCCCGCTCATGGGTTTGCGTGGCAGAAGTGTGCTTTGAAAGGCAATCAAAAGTGTGCGTGTGTAAAGATGAGGTAGAAAACGTGTGTGTGTGTGTAAAGATGAGTTGTCATCTGTGTGCGAATCTGAGTGAGATTTCAGGGGGGTCTGTGTGCGAATATGAGTTGGATCTGTGTGCGAATATGAGCGGCCTCCCCTTTTGATGGCCGCTGAAGAGCTGCCTCTTTTCTAAGGCTGGAGCCTTTAGATACGATGCCAGCGAAGTTCCTGACTTTCTGCCAGGAGTATGGGGACTGAGAGCGTCAGAAGGGCGTTCCGCGTGTCGGGTCGCTTGCTTTGGGTTTTTCCGACACCTTTGGATCGAGACTTGGAGGTCCGAGACAGCAATGGCGTCCTTTCAACACATATTCGGGAACATCTGACGGACGACCGGGCAGAATCAAAAACCGCAGAACGACCAAAAACCAGGAAATCCATCGGTCATCGGCCCCGTGCCGCACGAGAACGGTCATGGACGCGTCGAGACGCGCCCAGGGAGCGTTGAACGCAGCCGCTTTGGCTCCGTGGCGCTATCCCTCTCTTTTCAGTGTCTGCGGCAGACACTGCCGCAGGTGGAATGGTCGCTGGGGACCAATGCATATGGTTGAAACACAGAACATGCCCAATCTGAGGTGAAAGTGATTCGAGCCTTCGCGAAGAAGGTGGGGAGGTTTCTATGAGGTTCCGGGCGGGCGAACGGCGCGACGGTCGCGCTGTGGCGGAATTGCCATGCATTTTGTTTGGTTTGACAAGAGCGCCAAGACTGCTGTCGCACCGTCGTCAACGTGGTAGGTCACCCGAATGGAGGAAGCCATTCAGGAAGGGAACGTGAAAGAGGCCTGAAAACCGCAGAGACGGTCATTCCGGAGCGGTTGGAGCACGGACGGGCATGTCCAGGTATGTCGAGCAGATATTTCGGTACACATACATTTCTCTCACCACCAAAGAAAACTTGTATCATGCTTCTGAATTGCCCAGCTCGTCATGAAGCCATGCCACAGTTTGGGAGGAATCGATTCAAGTTTGTGATCGGGGTGTGCTTTTTTCAAACCAGGAGGCCACCAAACCAGAGGCCTCAAAACTAAATGAAAAGGCTCCGAAGGGGGGCCTAGACCTCGGGAGCGTGCCGGGATGCTGTTGCGCGAGGTCCAGCAGCTCTACGCCAAGTCAAAGCTTGACTTAACCAGGTGTGGGAGCCTGGGGACCTTTCCAGGTCTTCTTCAGGTCACTAAAACCCCCTCGAGAGAAGAGGAGAGAAAGAGAGAGAGAGAGAGAGATGAGTCCTATGGGGAGTTTGTATGGAAGAAACCCGTCTCGATGTATTGACAAGCTTTTCATGGACTGAAGAGTTTTCACCCCTTTTCACGTCAGTGGCATGACACCAAGCAGGTGTTCTCTGATTTCTCCCTCCACCTCAGGTATTTGCCCTTGGTTGAACTGGAGCCTCTTGATTCCGAGGCCGCGGGACTGGTGGAGATGAGGGATTGTGGGATTGTGGGAGTTGAAGACTGTATGCCGGTGGTGACCGGTTGGAAGCTCTTGTTTGAGTGACTGGGGCGTTACGAAGTCTAGATTCGCTTCTTGGAAACATGCTGTGCCAGAATCAGGCCGCATTTTGGACCTCGACCGAATTGTTCTTTGCGGTAGATAGATCCATAAATATGTCCGAAAGGAGGGGCTACCCAGAATCCGGTGGAGGCACCCTCTGGCAAAAGACACCAGCCTTTTTGTGAAGCGCTTTGTTCATTCAAATTTCACCAGTATTAGGGTCCACAAAGAAGAAGAATAGGGTCCACGAATCGCGAAGAAGAGGAAGAAGAAGAAGAAGCAGCAGCAGCAGAAGAAGCATCGGAAGCATCGGAAGAGCAGGAAGGAGAAGGAGGCAGAGTAGAAGAAGAAGAGAAACGATTTTCAGCATCCCAGCCCTTGTTTCCGGGCCTGAAATCGTGCTGTATGACAGGACTACACCCATGAGTGGGACACACGTCCCCAGGCACGTGGGACCTGTTGGAAGGTTTTTGAACTGCTTCTGACCAGGTACGCCGAAGTGTTTGGGCACCTAGGTTGCTTCATCATTTGGCTTGGACCCCAACGTTGTGAGGGTAAAAGCACTTGGCAAAACCACAGAGTGGCCCAACAGAAGAAGCTGACCAAACGGGTTTGACCCTCACGAAACCACTGACAGCTTGTGAAGCTTCCGCATGCTTGCGCTGGCTTTGACAGGTGTGGTGCCAGGGACAATTCTGTGTTTGATGCATCGCAATGCTGCAATGCCACATTGAGCTTGCTTGTTGCAGCGGTGGTTTCCAGCTGAAACTGTCCAGCAGCAGTTCTCTCACGGTTCTGGATGCAAGAAACTCCGCTGTGGCAGTAACACTTTATCGTTGATCTGGCTTTTTGTTGAATTCTTTATGATAGCCACTATCTGGTTACGTGGTATGGTTGGAACCCTGTTCCAATCGACCTCGAACTGGATGTAGAATGGCCGACTTGATGCTGGAAGACTTGTTGTCCCATGAATCCTATGTGCGATGTTTCGGATGTAATTCTTTGACTTTTAACCCCTCCTTTCTTTCAGAGTCAGCAGACACATCCGATCACTAGACACGCGCCATTCTCAATGCTCTGAGTTTTACAGACATCGCCGTAGAGCTAGTCTGAAGCAAAGATTGAGACCTGAGGGTGCGCAAGATGCCCCGTGGTGTGGACGTGGAGCCTGATTTGTTTAAGTTTCTTTTTTTGTTAAAGGCAAACCTCATGGGTGCAGGCAAGCAGATTCTTCGACTATTCCCAGGTCTCACCTCAGACATCTCTGCGCGCCTCCTCGTTCTCAACTGTCCAGCCATTTCCAGCCGCCATTTTTCCATTCCGGCAGACACGCTTTCCAGCGACAAACGCGTCCGAGAATGGCCCCAGGTGGGAAGGTGGAGGCCCAGAGGGAACATTTAACGAGCAGGATTGGAAGAAACTCATAAGTCCTCATTCACTTTTTTCCTAGCGCTAACAATGCCCAACTGCAAGAGGCCTTTTTGGTCCATTCAGATTCATTGGAAGGTGCTTGCCAGCAGCATCAAAGCCTGAAAGCAGGGGTAGGGATTCCAGGGCTGCCCAGTGGAAGGGGTGATTTTGTTGTGAACCAGCATCACTAGGTGCATCTCGACATGGGTCATAACGTTTGGGTCCCTCTACGAGACACTTGTTTTGTTTCGTGCAGAAAAACAAGACCAAAGCCTCGAGCAGTCAAGGTTTCAACCAGTTCAGGATGAATCTAGGGAGAAAGGTATCACAGAGGTCCGCACCATCGGGCACAGAAGTGGGTGTCGGTGTTTTTCTTCAGATTCTGGCAAGAGTGATCTGCAGATGATTCGTACCGCAGCCATCCGCAGCCTTAGGTTCCCAGGAGTGTCATAGAAACTCTTTGAGCAGAGAGCGATCGACATCGAGTTCCGGCGGTCGTTCGGTGTGAGGCTCGGCGAGCGGTGTGGTATTTTTGCCGAAAGGTTCTCTCGATTTTGCGCGTTGGAGGAGTTCATGTGTCCTGCGGTTTTGAAGCCCTGTAGTATTGTAGTTTTTTTTTCCTGCCCAAATATTGTGGGAACACTAGGGGTTCTTGTGGTAGTTGTTAACGCCGGATTCTGATCGAAGGTTCTCATCGAGGGATCCGGCTACCTCGCTGCTATATTATTAGCAGTGCATTCATGCACCTCGAGATCTTTGAAGTGCATTTCGACTGCCCAGGCTAGGCTCGCAGACTCTCTGGTGGGCTGGCGCGGGTGCTCTTCAAGACTGCGCTCTCGTTGTGGTGCCATGCACACTTTCGGGCTTGGTGATCATTTTTCCTTGCAGGCGCAAGGGAAACCTTGTGTCTTGGCGATGTAAAGTCGACTTTTCGTGGCTGCGAGGGCATCACCTCCGTGGCGGTGCATCACTTTTTGCACGCAGTTCCTCCATGTGAGCGGATCTTGTAACGACCCAGGGAGCCAGACTTGCGTGGCTGGACTGTCCAAAAGGGAAAGTTCAACTATCGGGCTCCACTGAAGGTACCGACGCAGCCGCACGGAGGTTCTGTTGGCCGCTACCCGCCCATAAGGAAGGTTGGTCGCATAGTTTCCAAGCGCAGCCCGATGTACAGCTGACCGACAGGGTCACGAGGCACACACCACAGGTCAAACGTGGGAGCTGTTTCCAATTTTGCAGCGGGCGCATAGTTCCCAAAGTAGATCGTTGGCGAGACTGTGGTAGATCCAATAAAGATAGTGGTGGTGATAGATGCGGCAATTGGAAGATGCAGCGCAGTTTTGCGGGTAGGTGTCATCCGCAGTTTCAAGCTGCGCTTGTCACGGAATGTTGAAGTTGCTTCATGAAGGTAAGGTGACGCATGACACAAGAATGGCTTACAAAGGAGAGTCCATGAGCTAGAGAGGTTAACTGTCATTGTAGTTTCAGGTGCTGCATTTAAGTTTGCGCCGGTTGAGGCCCTTGCCAAAGCATCTGCCTCAATTTATGCCAGGGTAGTCGACGCCGTGTCGTGGGGTGAGGCTGAAAAATGCTTATGCTGCAGGGTGCCGAAAGCAGGTGTTCTTTGAGATGCCTGCAAGACGCCTGGAAAGGGTAGGTTGAAGGTTCAAATACCTTGCCAAGCTCGGTGGGTACTGGGTACTGCGAGAACTTGGCTCTTCAGCCATGTCCCCCCAACAACAGCTCAGAGCCAAACCAATTAGGTGTAGTGAGCCCTCTTGTTCACCTCGCCATCTTGCCAACTCCTTCAGTACTCCTCCACCGTCATATAGATACCGATTCGTTTGACCAACTCATTTTTATCCGGAGGCTTGAAACAGAGTGCTTGCGCCTCCGATGCGGAGGCGGTGGCTCATGAGGCAGACCTTCAGCCTTTGCTGCCTTCCTCACATCCTGACTTGCACCTCCGTCCTCTTTAGCGTGGTTCCATTGCCCCATTGGAAGAGGGGCAAGTGAGCTTCGGGGCCACTGGCGAACCTCTTGTCAACGCCCTCACCGGCACAGGAAAGGGATCCGAATGCCTCCTGGTCCCACCTGGGTTTTTCGATACTGGACGGTATCCTGCCGCCTGAGTCACTCGTTGGTGCGGAGGATAAAGAACCAGGCAGTGAGCGCCGTCGCCTGAACCATGGCCGCCATGGCCTTGTCTACCAGTGCTCTCCGAACAGGACTGTCACGCCCATGCCTTCATTTGGCCCAATCTGACTGGTACACTTTGAAGGTGCTGTTGTCCTTGCTTCCCGCGATGTTCCCCTCCACCCACTCTTCAACCTGGGTGCTGACCTGTCCATCAAAAGGAGGTCGAACGGGTTCCAGTCGGACGTTTTCTCGGCGATGATTTCCTCAGGCCGTCTGCGGATCTGTCTCCTTAATTCCCCCCGCTGTGACATTGTGGACGAAAGGCTCGGTCCTCAATCTCGAGACAGTTCAACCATAGCGATTCCCCTAAGGCCCGAGACCTCTTCGCACCCTCCAGCTCAGCCATCTCCATGACTCATCGCCGTCACACCTCTCTGGAACCCAATGCGTCTAGATTTCTAGACCTTCTGCTTCTACACCTCTGGACTCCAGACCTTCAGACGCACTGTTTGGGGTGTTTTGCTGGGTTTAAACATGAGCAACTATATAGACTAGACCTTTGACTAGGCCATTTCAGATGGACCTTCGAACTTGGAAAGGCGCCAGCAGGTGCCTCAACAGCTCCATTTGAAGCCAAGGCCAGACTCCGAACATGGCCCAGCCCGTGCATGCTTGGGCCTCAGGTGGCAAGTGATGGAGGGATAGGGGAAAGCCACGAACAACTCCTAAAGCCTCTCAATTGTTCTTGACTTTTGGTCGTGTGCTCTTGTTCACTTCAGATCTTGCTAACTTGTATGAGGAAACCCAGAACACACACATTGCCGTGAGTCCGAAAACAACTCGTCCGACACAGACGTCGGGGAACTTGTGCCGGGCCTAGGCGCTCTGGGGTTTACCGGATAAGAAAAGCAAAAGCACTCCACCGAAGTGCTTCAACATCGCGCCCCGAGCTGAGCATGCCATCGCTCCTCCTGGTCGGAAACTGATGAATGATCAATCAGAAGGGTTTCCTTCGCAACTTCTCCAGGTCTAGGGTGCAAAAAAGTAGCATTGAGCAGCCTTTGAGCTGCCGCGTCCACCCTGTGACGGTGCTGAAGGTGGGGGGGAGCTCGGCCATCCTGTCGGCTTGGCCTCAGTTGTTTGTTCATGTTTTGGATGCCCAGTAGGGACTGTTAGACACATGTGTTACTTGGGTATCTTGTTTTCCGAATCCACGGATTGATAACGCAATTGGATGACGTTTCCGCGATCTTTTCCTACAGGCTACATGGCAGCAGGCTATACGAGAGCTTTCCAATATGAGATAGCATTGTTCTTCCCCCAGATTTCTGGCCCCGAACCCCCCAACTTTCCGACAGATCTTGGACGCCTACGTGCGGCGGCCGGCCGGTGCCACGCGCACCATTGGCACGCTGCTCGGGTGGATCAGCCAGGGGGCCCAGGCCAACATCACGCAACAGCAGAAACCATTTCATCATTTGGAACCAGATAGATGTGAATGGTTTTTCTCAAGCATGGATTGGTTCGCACGCATTTGAGGCGAAGGTAGTGCAGTGGACATCACTGATAGCTTTCCAGTGCCCCACAAGGCTGGAACGACGGTGGTCGTGTGGAAGTGGCAAAACGGCAGTGCTTGATTGTTGATGCTTATATATATTTATCGTACGTTTCCATATTCTGTACATTTTTTTTCTATTTTTATTAGTATTACAATTTGTTTTATTTTTTTGCAGTCAGATTCACCACTTCTAGCAATAGTGAACTTTCTGGGACTCACCGGCGTGGCGAGTGGCAGGACACTACTGATGAGGGTGTTGCTATTGACCAGGCGGATTGACCGTGCTAAACTGGCTACATGGAGAGTGCGAAACTAGCTGCATGTAGCCATAACTGAAATCATGCAGTTGTGTTTTTGAGTCTGCGTAAAACACCTCGTGCTACAACATAGCACTGTAAAAGTCTTGTTTGTCAGTACCCTCCGAAAGTAAAACATAGGAACTGGTAGAACACCCCTGCCAGAGAAGCATCTTGCCAATCCCTGTCTGAGAGTCATCATGCTCTGCCTACGCAGTTTGCAAGGCTTTTGCTGCTCATAGTCTTTTTTGGTTTCAGCTTGGCCCGCAAGCCGAGGACTACCACAAGTCCATGCTCGAGCTTAGACAGAAGGTCTCTCCACGCGAAGTCGTTGTTTGGAGCCTCAGGAAGATGCATGCAGTTGGGCCGAATAAAGAAGCATGTATATGTTTATGGTCAAGTCCCTATGAATGATGGCACATTTTGTAAGCCATGTCCAACTGATTACAGGTTTTGTGTTGGGAATTTGCAATGGATCTACTTCTAGAATTTCTGGCGTCTCTATATATAGCGAACAAGCCATGTGTCATCCTTCTTTCGCTGTGCCTCTGGAGTTGTTGCAAGCAAGCTGAGACAGGTTGGCTGGTTCTCCACCGGCGATGAGATCAACGCCACCTCTGCGGTGATCCATGCCTTCTACTGCAAAAAGGAGTCCTGACTCGTCGCGTCGCGAGTCGGCCACCAAGCCACAAAGGGGAGGAACACTCGGAGTTGGTTTTCGGAATTCCGAGGGAATGAGCCCGTTGCTTTTGGAATCCGGTTTCGGGTTCTGAGGGACATGGTGGTTGCCTTGCTTAGCTTTTGTGTGACAATTTTGGATCTTTTGATGTGCTGACCACCGTCGAAAGATGGCGGCCGAAAGAGCGCCAAAGAAGTTGGTTTAGGCTTGGAACCGCAACCTGCAGAGGAGTCATCGCAGTTTAACCCCACTGCAGTTTTGCCTGGCCCTCTTCACCTTCTGATTGACACCTCTTATTTGGCCCAACCGCTGGAAGCTCAGCAACGCTCTCGCAGGGTGATCGGCATCGTTGAAGCCCTTCAATCTCATTTGGATGGATGGTCAGAAGAGAACAAACTCCACGATGGTCAGAAGAGACACTATAGTTAGTTTTGAAAGTCTACACAATCACTATGACTATACAGTGGTAGGCAAGGGCTGACAAAGACAACGTTCTTCGCACAGTGCTCGTTTCTGTTTAACGGCCCACAACGTTTTTTTCACCCGCAATGGAAGCACTGCTGTTTCGGGGGTCGCCGGGCCGCGGTCGTGGGGTCGCGGTGGCGTTGCTGTTTTGTCCAGGTCCTTCGGCATTAAGACCTTCGTCAATGTCCGAACCGCAGTGGCTGGAAGCTGAGAGAACCTCCGGTCAGCAGAAACGAGCAGTCTGGGTTTGAATTTGGGATGCGGAATGGTACCACGCTGTTTGCCGCAGCAAAGCCTTTTTTCAAAAAAATATTTTTTTCCACATCATCGAAGCCGATGACATACGGGCAGAGCGGCAGACCACGATCGCATGTCTCAACATGCGTGACTCCCCAACATTTCCATAATATTCTGTCCTCTTTAGACAGATTGGGTGGTTGTGGAAGCCCATGTAAGGCCTCCTGATGGGCTCCTGTCTTTCCCGAAGCATCGTGGATTCCAGGCCCCGGATGCGCGCGCTAGCTCCCCGCGCCTCCGAGGCGGAGAATTTGTTGCAATTCCATGAGGTGCCGCTCCGGGTGCAGACCAGCACCGCTGAGAAGCTAGGGCGCCCGAAGAGTGGGGTCAGAGAGGGGAGGGCCCCTTCTTTTCAGGGGTTTGCTTCATGGCTCGGCCACCAACCGCATGGGTTGCCGGGATTGGCCGGTTTCCCGACCAGGTGCCGACCAAGCAGTGTTATTCCATGAATTTAGGCTGCTTCGGGACACCACATATCCCTTTTACATTTATATATATATATATTAATATGCAGAGAACACACACTTCGAACTTGGGTTTTCAGTTAACGCAATTGTCGCAATGGGAACGAAGGTGAGGGAACGGAAAGGCGCAAGAGTCCGCAAGAACTGTAGTGTTGAACAATGTTTGCAGCTGCACTTGAAAACGATCTGACATTCAAAGCGGCGTAAGGTGGCGGTGGGGTTTGTGGGACGTATCATGGAGAACCATGAATCAAACCGTGGAAGAGTAGGGTAACAGCTTGTGAGAGAACGAGCAGGTACACGGAAGTGATCAGCTTCCGCTTCCTAGGATCTTGCAAAGAGCTTCGTTGGGCAGAGCTTTGCAAGTCCTCTCTGCCCCCCTGCCTGTGTGGAATGGGAAGAGTGGTGGTGTAAAACCCTTTGTCCAGGGTGGGACACACACAGGTCGCCGCATTCGGCGCTTTTTCAAAAACCGGTGGCAAGCGTGGTAGTTATGCCCCTTTTGGACATATAGGTCCACAAGTTCAGCCGCAGCAACGTCAGCGCTGGAGGGTGGAAATGTGTATGTGAGCTTGTTGGTAGGTGTGTGTTCATGCATCTCGAATTAAGCAGAAGAGCTGTAATGCCCATCCTTGAGTTCTGTCGATGAAAAATCGCGGCAGCAACATAGCGAACATAGAAACACGCACATGATTGGAAAACATGAAAACAAAACTGAATGCTGAAATCAGAGATCTGAAGTTCGGAATCTGACGGATTCTTCAAGAACCGTTTTTTGGCCCGGCGGCCGGTGTGGCGGTTGATTCTGTGAGGGTGTCGGTGCCTTCCTGTGATAATCCAGTGAGCGGTGGTGCGTTGGGGTGGTTGCTTTCCCACGCAAGAACGGCGCCCCTGTGACGGGGATCACACTCAGCACCCGAGTGGGACGGCTGAGCAGGACACACTTCGAACTTGGGTTTTCAGTTAACGCAATTGTCGCAATGGGAACGAAGGTGAGGGAACGGAAAGGCGCAAGAGTCCGCAAGAACCGTAGTGTTGAACAATGTTTGCAGCTGCACTTGAAAACGATCTGACATTCAAAGCGGCGTAATGTGGCGGTGGGGCTTGTGGGACGTATCATGGAGAACCATGAATCAAACCGTGGAAGAGTAGGGTAACAGCTTGTGAGAGAACGAGCAGGTACACGGAAGTGATCAGCTTCCGCTTCCTAGGATCTTGCAAAGAGCTTCGTTGGGCAGAGCTTTGCAAGCCCTCTCTGCCCCCCTGCCTGTGTGGAATGGGAAGGGTGGTGGTGTAAAACCCTTTGTCCAGGGTGGGACACAACCACACACACACACACCCCTCATGTTTATGTAGTTTTTGGGTGTGTCGCAAAGTCACGTTGGTGCTGGGTCTCATTTGTGAGGTATCTATCGCAAGAACAAAAAGCACCAGCTTGAGCAACTCAATGTTGGCCAGGAATGGTGACTACTAAGAACAATAAGCTACTAGGAACAAGTGCATCGCTTCTAGTAACAAGTGCCTTACTACTAGGAGCAAGAAGCTAGTAGAAACAATACTCAGGAGAACTTCGTTCGCCGCACATCCGGTGCATGACGTGTGCGGCATCGACGCGGAAGCACGCACCATTGAACCGGTCACAACCGATCTCCGGTTCAACGGATCCGAAGCGAAAGCGAACGACGTCAAACTGCAGCAATCTGAAGGACCCTACCCAAAGGGTAAGGGAGACATGAGACTCACCAGCCCTACAAGAAGCTTGGTTTGGTTGGAGGGCTGGTTGGGTTGCGGTTTGATCCATGAAGGAATACCGTTTCTTTGTTCGAAACGCTTGCCTGCAAGGTCCAGCATCTCCCAGTTGATGCATGCCAGACGAGCCAACCGAGAAGCTCTGGCGACTCGTGATTCTGCTAAGGACTGGGATTCTCCGGAAAGAGAGCGAAGGGAAAAGACACCAAAGGTTTTTTCAGCAAAACCCACTGGTTTTTGTGCGTGACATTGCAATTGGAGCATGGTGGTGAGATGGTCAGCCAGGATATGGCATCCTTGGATGGTCTACAAGGAGGTCTCAAGGAATTGCTGGGTGTGGGCCAAAGAAATACGGTGTGTGCGTGTTTTTGGTCAAAAGGGATCCCAAAGAGATAGTCCAGTGAATCCTTTTCAATCGTGCTCTTGGCTATATAGCTTATTGGATCCATTTCAGTGTTAGAAAGAAGTATCTAAAACAAGAAGAGCCCAAGGATGTCCTTCTAGGTGAGCTGATTTATGTCCAGGAGTTGTGATTGTGATTGCCAATGCCATGCTTTGATTCCGTGGCATTGGACCCAAAATGCGAATCCCAACCTACGCCATGAGCATGGCCGCGCGGGCGCATGAATGCGCGCCGCCGTCCATACGGCCACGTAATCGGCCACGTCAAGCGCGGCTCCAAGGCCTGTCCCGACGCATTCAGCAGTATGTTCGAGCTGTGCAGTCCGGAAAGGCTGGAACTTGGGGCCTTGGAATCTGGAGACGCCCAGAAGCGAGGGTGAACCGCGTACGTCTCCAGAGTCCTGCCTTCGGTGGTTGACCGTAAGCGAATCCAGGCAAGTCCACGTCTTTAGATGACTTACTTGGGCGAGAACGCCGGGAAGATGAGGACCTACTCTTCTTGGGCTCTTGTTACATCTCCATATCTAAATTCTGTATTGAGTGCCCAAACCATGTTCAAATTCAATGAGAGAGACTGGGACAAACACATACTTACAAACGAAAAGACAACACACACACACACACACTACATGTTTTCTCTTCAACTTTAAAGATCATCAATCCTTCAAATGATTCTATGCAGAAAGAACACCCCGATATCAAGGTACCTTCACATGCATCTAGTGAATGCAATTGCACTTTCCTTTGTAGACTCTTCCCCGCCGCCCATCTCTCGAGCTGATTTTTGGCCGCGCTGCCGCTCTCCTCGTGGCGTGCTGAGGAGAGAAGTGAGGGCTGGAGGGCCTGGCAGGTTCAATTAAACATAGATTACCCCCACAAAAGCTCTCACACTGCATTGCTGAATCTGTTTATGATGTTCTTGTTTTGGGTTCCGGGCACAAGAGCCACAAGTGAATTTATATATCACTTTTCCAGTGACATCAAGTTTCATGCTTGTTCTACTTTTGTTCGACCTGTTCTCGTGGCCTGGCAGGAAGGATGCACATTGAAGAGATCATCATAGATGGTTTCAAATCCTACTCGACCCGTGTGCCTGTCGGACCATTTGATCGGCAGTTCAATGCCATCACAGGCAGGAGCATTTTGAATCCTTGCGGCCAGTTTGACCTGGCGAGTGAGTGGTTTAGGGAGAGAGTCCTGGCATCCAATCCATTGCCTCCACGTCAGGTTTGAATGGAAGCGGAAAGTCGAACATCTTGGACGCGATTTGCTTTGTACTCGGCATCTCCAATCTTACGCAGGTCCGCGTTGGAAACCTGTCAGAGCTTGTGTACAAGCAGGGGCAGGCTGGTGTGACGAAGGCCAGCGTAACTATTGTCTTCAACAATGAGGACAAGCAGAACAGCCCGGTGGGGTATCTTGGTACACTCACCATCACTTTTGGTCACTTTGCAAATCAGAAGTCTTATAGAATCAGCTTACATCAGCTTAGCCTTGCTTCAACCAACGTTTTGCTTCGGCTTTTGATGACGCATCACTCAGAACGAAAACAATTATTCAGGTATGAGATGCACGACAAGATCATCATCACACGCCAGATTGTGATTGGAGGTCGAAATAGATACCTCTTGAACTCGCACAATGTGCAGCAGAATCAAATTCAGAATTTGTGGCTCGTTTCGGCAGACCTTTGCATTGGCCGCTTTGTACTGTTGATTTTCAACAAATCCTATACCATTTAGAACCACCAAAGCACAGGAAATCCAGTGGCTTTCCAACAGAACCTCCGCCACTGTTGTGCCACCGAATGGCCCAGGTTCCATTCGGTGTCGTTGAACGTCAACAATCCTCACTTCCTCATCATGCAGGGCCGCATCACGAAGGTGATCAACATGAAGCCTCAAGAGACGCTGAGTATGATTGAGGAGGCGGCCGGAACGCGCATGTATGAGAACAAGAAGGCCGTGGCTCTGAAGACCTTGGAAAAGAAGCAGAACAAGGCACAGCCCGGTTCGGGTTCCCTGTGCGGCTTCAAAGGGGTTGCAATAGACTCCTGAGGATAGCGTTTCGGGGAAGAGGAGGGCAAATAGTTTGGCCATAGGGACATCTTTCGGTTTGCAGAAGTCTTGGTTGGCATTCGGGAAAGCTGAAGCTTGTGGAGCGGTTCATTTCTGGAGTGGTTTTGTTTACTGTTCATTTTTCATGAACACAAGGCTTTTGGATGCTTTTGGGAAGCTGATTGAGTTCTTTGTTTTGAATGCCCAAATGCGCTTGTTTCTCATGATTATTCGATTATTCTGACACTCACCCAAGAAGAGGGCTTTGATGATTGTATATAACACGTCAGTCGAGCTGCGTGAGGCGTTGCCCGCATGTCAGCGCAGCCGGCAGGTTGAGGAGATCAATCGGCTTTTGTCGGAGGAGATCACGCCAACATTGGAAAAGTTGCAGAAGGAGAGGTCAAATTATATGAGCCTTAAATCGCAGGACATTAGCTGGAGTCCGTCGTGCGATTCTTTTGCCGACCTCTGAATAGATAGGAAAAGGCCCTTCGAAACACATGGTTGAGCAAGAATTCCATTCATTCTATCCGGGATCTCTACAAACCACGTACGTTTCTCCCGGATAGATAGAATAGAGATCCCGGAACAACTGCAACGGTTGGGGGCAACAACCTACACCGGCCTCCATCCAGTCTCGCCGTGCACCCGCCGCTTCGGCCGTCGACCGTCATGGCTTGGCTTCGGTCGTTGGACACCGGGACATCGGGAGAGACGGGAGACCAACGCAGCACGGAAAATCTGGAGTAGAGAGTAGATAGAGTAGTCACTTCGGGGGTCCTACATTGGAGTCGATCATCCCGGAGTGAGTAGATGGAACGTAGGAAAATCCGAGCACTATCAGGACACTGTTCATATGTTATTATGTTGGTCACTTTTCGTCACATTCTATTTACTCCAGGATGGTTGTAGAACACATATATATATACATGCATATTTATTGCCTTGCTCCTTTAAGAGTTCCCTTGCTTGGGTGCTATTTGTGGGCGCCCCGCACCAGCGGCAGCTTTGGCCTCTAATCTGGCAGATCTCTACTTTCAAGAGAGACATACTTCAGCAGGATTTTGTCCAGAGGATTAGTGATGAATTATAGAAACTAGTGAACATGCTCACACAGGTGTGGGTGTTTGTCTTTGAGGCTTTGGGTCTCCAACAACAATGAGATCGAGCGACTGGAGCGTTTTTGCGTGTGAAGCTCAGTGATCTCAACACGAGGCAGTGAGCATGGGGGGTTAGCAGTTCAACCGCAGCCTTGTGTCTATGCTTGTGAGTCTATCTGCACTGGAAGAACAATTTGGCATTTTTGAGGTTTGCCAACTTGCTGCTTGATCTGCTTGTTCTTGTTCCCTTTTCTATTTAGGTGGCCTATGAGTATGTGCAGTTCAAGAACAAGCTCGAGAACAAGAACCAGCAGTTGGAAGAAATGGAGGACCTGCAAAGATGCTGCTAACCATACCCTGTTTCTACTTCAAGCACCTTCTTGTGTGATTTGTCACACAGTGGAGACAAGAGTACGTACGTCATAATGCCGCATGCCCCGAAGAAACCTTGATCAAAAAAGACGCCTATATAAGTAAAACGAGTAAATCAAAAGGTGTACCAGACCAGGCGGCATGGCAGGTGGTTCCAGACTCTACCAGACCAGCAGGAATGCCACATGCGAAATTACAGCCACCCCCAAAAGAATGGCCCGTGGTTCAAAACTGTACCAGACCAGATGGAATGGTACACAGTTCCAAAACTGCACCGGACCAGTAGGAATGGTACATGGTTCAAAATTACAAGTACGTGTATAGGCATCCCCATACACCTCCCGCCAGACTGCATAGATTCATTGGGTACGGTTTGCAGTCTAGCGCGGTACCCCCTGCAAATTACAAAAAACACAAAGTGAAAAGGCTGGCTGCCTATGATTCCAAGGGTTGCACGCACACAAATGCCAGATGTCAAGACTTCGATCTGCGATCGCAGGAGAGTTTGGCCCAGATCGCCCAGAGCACAAAAGATCTCACCAGCCGTGATGCTGCCATCCAGAAGGAGATGAAACAACGCACCGCCTCGCGTGACAAGGCCCGGTTGGTCCGGTTTTTCGAGAACGGGTTGGCCTAGGGTGGCATGGCAGGAGACCAGTTGTGCGGTGGTGTGGTGGAAGAGCTGAGGCCAGATCTCAGGAGTTGAAGAGGCTCGAGGATGAGCACAACAAGCTCTCCAAGGAGCGATGAGATCAAACATCAGGGCGGTCAGGGTACACTTTGGGCCAAGAGATTTCTTGAAGAAAGGAGCTGGTGCCTATCCCATCTCCGGTGACACCTGAGCATATTAATCCCTCCAATCAGGGAGGACTGGATTACGGTTTGTTGAGTTTTCAATATCTCTAGATGATTCTGGATGTAGTTAGATATGTAGTTCAAAAACACCAAGACACCCTTTGTCAGAAGAATCAACACAGACTTTCCACTTTGTCCGACCGAAGACCCACCGACTCTTGCCTCGGCGCCGACTCTAGCCCGACGGACGACCACCTGGAATCATAGGACATCGCATCCATGGAATCGAAGCTGAAGAACAAGCAGGCCGAGTTGGACTCTGAAAAGGAGCAGCAGAAGAAGTCCACGTCGGGCCACTGGGCAGAACGGAACCCGGGCAGGTGCGGGGTCCGGTGCTGCTGGTTCTGGGGTCCCATGGGTCGAAGGTGTGCTGCAGCGATCTGCTGCGTGGGGCAGCTGAAGATCAATACATTGGTGATCATTGGTGCGTGTCTGAAGTCTATCTTGATGGCAGATGGCACATGCTTCCCTGAAAATAGAGCTAACATGCAAGTTGGACAGGCTTCTGGCAGCACTGGCTCTGACACTATCGGATAGGCATTTGGACATGAAAACGAGGGCGACTGCTGGGAGATGGACATGGTGTGTATTTCAGAAAAGGAAGAACACCTCAGCTACATGTCATTCTATTCAGTTACAGACTCCCCTCATACTAAGGCATGGGTGACCTGAGGAAGCAGCTCCAACAGAAGGAGACGGTTTACGAAAAAGAGAAAGGCCAGCTATGGTTGCCGCCCAGGTGGTTTACACCAGGCCAAGCTGCCAATAGCAAACACTCTGGTAGGGTTGACATGCCTATTCTGGTCTTGTTTACTGTACTTTAAGATCTCTGACATAAGGACCTCAACTAGGTGTTTGGCATTTTGACTCAATACTTAATTTTCGGTTGGAATGAAACGGGAGGATGTTGAGGACTGGCTCTGATCCCAGTGATGCCTTGCCTGTCAGGGAAGTTTGACAAGCTGACGCAGGAGGAAACTGCTACCAATCAGGAGCCGACACATACAGTTTTAAAGCAACAAACATCAGCTTATCATTATTATTGTTGCGTTGCAGCTGCCTTAATGAATCATTGCGTTGGTAGAGACCTGACACATGTTTGTGTGAAGGTGGTGAGATCCCCAACCAAGGCTTTTTTTGTGGGCGGGTGTGTGTTTGTTTGTCTGTATGTCTGTCAAGTAATTGAAGCACAGTCATGTAATGCATGTGACTATATTACTATATATATACATATATTTCTGTCCGTGTGCACACGTGTGTGTCCCCTTTGGAAGTTTTGTTGACCTGGAAAAGGCGCTCCTCAAATGGATGCGCGCACGTGCTCCAATACATGTTCAACAGAGGATTATTTTTCCTGGGCACCTCCCGGATGCACATTCTAAATACTCGGATATGACACGAGGGCCAGGGGCTTTCTCCAGCTGCCAAGGAGATTGAAAAGGCACAGTACTCCATGCAAGCGCTCACCGCAGGCATGACGACGCTCCCTTCAGGGATTCGGAGGGCGAAGGGATCGCCAAGGAGTAGCTCAAGGGTTGGTTGGACGTGATGAAATGGATGGAAGCATGGGGTAGCCTTGCTGTCTACAAGTAGAGTTGAGGCCTTGTAAGCCATGTCATGCCATATCCGACTCAATGGATTGCTCCCCATGGCGGCATAGTGCCAGGCATGGCCGAGGCACCGACGGCCGAGGGCGAGCAGTGCTCCTTGCGAGAGCAGCTGCTCCGCACGCAAACCAGGCTGCAGGAGATGCAGGCTGCGAGACGCATGTTCTTTTTCAGGATCAAAGGAAGGGAGTTCTCACCACCCATATATTTGCGTGAGGATGGACATAGGGACTACCTCTTTGGTGACTCACTGCAAGTCCCATGTACTTCTGGTGAAAAACGATTTGGCACCTCCCCATAGAAATCAGTACAAAAAGCAGAGCTACGTATTTGGAAACATCTCGGGAGGCCGAAGAGAAGACCAAGAGCATGGCCATTGCCAACTTGCAGGTGGGAGACAGCTGTTTGGTCCAATGGCTTCATAGATGGCTGGCTTTGATGGCTCGCTTTTGCTCTGGGACATGTGATAGGCGTTGTTCCATCCCATCAGAGATACTCTCAGATTTGGATCGATGTGCTGCGATGTGAAACCCGTCGCCATGGCCCACTTGGCTGGACTGTACCAGACAGTAAGTCCCTTTTGGTAGAGGGTTGATGGCAAGAAGCATGCGCTCGTGGCTGTGTCAGGAGCGCATTGCTTCGGCGGAGCAAGTGGTTGGTCGGAGCAAGCAGGAGGACAAGCGGCTGAGCAAAGAGAAAGCTGCCATCGAAGCGATGCTGAAGGAGACTGGGCCAATGGCTTGCCAGCTGAGGGATGGGCAGAAAAGACCACTAGTGAGTTGCCGTTTGAAGGGCCCAGTGCCATGGCTTGGGCAGTCTCACATATGCAGGGAACCTAGATGAACTAGATGAACAACCAAAATAAGTTCAACGAGCTGAGAGAAATTCTTCCTAAAGATTCATGCCACCTTTGCAGGAGCAGCGCACCAAGCTTCAGAAGGCGGGCTTCGACCCAGAGGTCTTCAACCAGACCCAGCACAATCTGCGCCATGCAGAGGCCCAGCCTACTGAGCCAGAAGCGACGTGAACGGACTGAGAAGTGAGGCTGCAGGTGTTGCAGCTCTTGCACCTCCCAACCCTGGACTCTGGACTCATACAAGGTGAAAGGTGTTTTCTTCCTGGGCTTTGTCTCACCAAAAGAAAACGAAATTGCTCCAAAGATTTACATATGAACCGAGAAGCAGATGAACCCCTCGTGGTTGGCAGCACGTCGTGGCATCCGTTGGCGCGTTTGCTTGGGAGTTCGGCGCCGTAGCAGTTCCCCGTGCCCTGCATGGCAGGCCTCCTGGCGCTCCTTGCAGGATAAGTTGGACTCCCTGCGCGCTCACCTTGGTGGTCTTGACTTTAACTATAGCGATCCTTATAGGCAAGTCGCCGACGCGGATGTAAGCTGGGAAGGTTGAGAATGCGATCATCGTCATCCACTCGTGGGCAGAAAACACCTCTTGAGTCCTTTTGAGAATTCGTGAGGTCTTAGACTGTTCTTCCAGGTCTTAGATTCTGAGATCTATGACAGATTGTCAGATTGTGTCCTTCTTTCCTCATCACATGAGATTTCTCGCAAGGTTCCAGGCTGTTCCACCGCGCAGCAGGAACTTTGACCGCTCCACCGTGAAGGGTGTGGTGGCGAAGCTGTTTCACATCAAGCCCGACTTCGTGCAGCCCTCAGTGGGGCAAACGATGGATGGGTGGCCCGATTCTTTTTTGCATGTTCTTTTTCTCTTCCGGTGTGCCAACGAGCAGCGGTGCCATCGAACGCACCAACAAGAAAGGACGCTTCTGGTTTCACTGCTTTGGCAGGACACGTGATTTTGGAGCTTGTGGACCAGTCGATCCTATCCCCCCAAGAAATAATGTGATCATGGCAGTCAGCATATGTTTGAGAACAATGATCCACTGAGTTTAGGGACCCAAATAGATAGAACAGTGAGTTCCTCTCAAGAATGTATACAGTTTGAAAGAACACATACTCGTTTCTATCCACCAAACAGACCTAGACACTATATGGGTTACAGAAGGACCGTACCACCCCGACCAGTGACCGTACCACTGAGGCGGCCTACCACCGCGCTTTGGAGGTCTGCGCCGGTGGACGGCTCTTCTTCGTGATCGTGGACAACGAGGAGACCGGGAAAGCGCTGCTGGAGAAGGGACAGCTGAGGCGAGGACAGACCACGGTCAGTTTTTCCTGGCTGGTCGCTGATTCATTCAACACATGCATTGTTTGAGATTCTTTCGTTTTTTTGGCGCTTGTTTTTTCCACAGGCGGCGAGTGACCATCATTCCCTTGAACAAGATCCAGGACGGCCTCCACGTCGGATTGATGTCTCTCTTCTCCGGCCAAAAAGCTTCGACGTGTCGTGCTTCCACTTACAGATGCAGAGCTACTTGAAAAACTTCATCCAAACCCTGTTTCTTCAAGCTGTCTCAGTCTCCTTGCGGCCCGAAGCGGATCCGTTTCTCGCATCTCCGGCCCTTACACCGCCGCCCGTGCGGGACGACGCGCAGCGTCGTCCGCATGTCGTTTCGACGCTAGGACAACAGCATCGCACCGCAAGTGGTCCGGCAAGCGCGTCAGATCATCCCCAAGAAGGCCGAGGCGCATGTGGCCATGGAGATCGTCGGCTTCGAGAAGCAGGCAGAAGAAGGAAATGGGTCGAAGAGGGACGCAGAAGTCGTGGAACTTCTGAAGAAAGAGAACAGGGTTAAAGCAGATGGGGGAATGGCATGTGCATTTTCCGTGTGGTATGCAATGAAACATGCGATTGGACAAATGTCACCGTCGGGGCGGTGTCCTACAACTAGAATCTCATCATCAGGGGGCTTGAGAGAAGGCTTGGGAGGATGGTAAAGCCAACGCATCACCTGACCCGAGTAGAATGAGATTGGAGGAGCTAGCAGCTAGCAGCTAGATGAACAACAAGTCCCAGTGCATTGTTTTCGCTTCCGTTTGTCCCAAAAGAAACCGATCCATGACCCATTTCGCTCCCGGTGGTTTTGGGAAGCGACTAAGGAACCGGCACCGGTTGTGCCTCGCCTCGTGGCCTCGCCTTGTGGAGCGACCCTGTCAGGTGATGAATGCGATGAAGTTTGTGTTCGGTCCCTACATGGTCTGCGACACGCCCGAGACGGCCAAGCAGATCACCTTCCACCCCAACGTGCGGGTCAAGACCGTGACCAAGGAAAGGGACAGCATCGCTCACCATGCTGGTGCTTGCTGGTTCACGCTCATCGCTATTTTTTTGGTTCTCTCCCAGTGAAGCTTGTTATGACATCCTCATTAGCAGCGCAAGTCATTTCGATGGGGTGTGAGGCCCATACTTGATAGCCAGGTCACCTAAATTGACCTCAATACCACTTGATGTCCCCGAAACTCATCAAAGAAAACAGTATACAATCTGAACATATTTGTTGGAACACCAAAACCCGGAAACAACACTTTTCTGTTTAGACTTTAGACGGGAAGCACCGAGTCCCTTTGGCAAGACATGGCAATACCCCAAACCATGATGGTCTGTTTCACTTCCACCTGATGGTCTGCAGCTTTTGGGCGTTGGATTTCTGGGAGGAACATGGCCATTGCATGGGCACATGGGCATCGTCATTGCAGACCTGGGCATAGTCATTGCATGGCCATTGCTGGCAACATTCTTCCAGACCCGATCCGCAGGAGGGTGACTTGTACGACCCGGCGGGCACCATCACCGGTGGCTCCGCGCCGAAGGGTGGCAACCTGCTGATGAAGCTTCAAGAGTTGCTCGGGGCCCAGGAGGAAAAACTGCTGGCAAAATCTTGACAAGGCTTCAACTGGAACTGTGTATTTGTTGGGACATGCTGGAGGCTGCATGACCTTCTAGGCTGTCCCTTTATGTTGGGTTCCATTTAAGAGTTGCATCACAACACGTTTCTCAGATTTCCTGCTTGGTGAGTTTGATGTTCGCCCCCTTTTTGAGACCAAACTAGATTGATCTTTTAAGGGACTGCACGCTTCTGGGGATTTGACTCACATCAAATGGGAGATGCGCGGATTACTGGGTGGACGGTTGGATTTTTCTTAACATGACTTTTTTTGAAGTATTTGTTGATGTACTCATGTTGGATCTAATGAGGAGTTCAAATCTGGATCTGAACCGATTCAGTATACTAGGCGTGACACTAAATGTCAATATGAGCGCCTTCGGTTCACAGCAGAAAAGACGAGTTTTGAGAGACACATTATTTTGCGGATTTGATGTAAGAACCCTTAGTATTGAGGTTTTCCTACTTCACAGACTCCCGTGCACAGATTGTCAGAGCGATTGCTTGTACTTCAGTTGAGTCAAAAACTTTCAGGTCCAATCTGGAGAAGCAAGTCCATACGCAGCGATGCGAGTATGACAAGGCCTTACCTAACTTGGGCTTGGCTTTGGTGTTGATTCGTGAATGATTTGGTGTTTATTCGCTGATGGTCTAGTCTAAACATCCAATGGGTCGAACAACGGCAATGGGTCGAACAGGGAGGCGGATGTTTTCTCGTTGTTGCGGTTCGCATCGTGTTCTCGCAACCGGCACGAGGGGAGACGGGTGGGTAGACCTCGGGGTTAGACCGAGGGGAAGCCCACATGTTTGGGATGGACACAGCGAGCGCTCTACGCTCCTACCCATATTTCCCATGTCTTGGTTCCTTCAGCTCGAAAGCCCCCGTTTTGACGCCCTGCGCTGCGGCGCCATGCGATCCGAGTTGCGCGAGGCGAATGCGCAGCTGCAGAAGATGCAGTCCACGGCTTCGCAGTTCTCCAGTTTGGAGAGAGAATTGAAGTGCAAGGAGCATGAGCCTCCCGGCCACGAGCGTCGAACGAAGTGGTCAACGTGGCAGCGTCTAGACGTGATGAGCGTGCAACGACTTGCACCCAGAAAGTGAGGAGAGAGGGAGAGATGGACTCACCTGGATGTGAGTGCTGAGGAGTATATAGGTTCTTAAGCACCGATTTGCGGATTCCTAGTCGCCGCTCCTGAGGCTGGCCTTGATTGAGGATCGAATTAATCGCAGTGAGCATCATACTGCCGAGCAGAGCATCCAGGCCAGGCAAAGCAGTATTCAGTGATGTTACATAACACCTCAGGGAGATTTATTAGTACTTGTTTTCTCTGTGATTGGCCTGAACTTGAACTTGGATGCTCGTTTTCGCAAGGACATGCAAAGCGAAATGCAAAAGCTACAAGAGGACATCGCCAATCTTCCAGAGGACGGCTGCAACAGAATTCAACGACGCAATTGACGCCAGGGAATTTCAAACGCGCATTCGCAAGAATCCAATGCCTTTTCGCCCTGACCTTTGGTCTGAATGTCACTTGGTGACCCTTAGTACTTAGTACACCTTAGTACTGCCTGAAAGACGAAGGTGTGGCACCCATTGTTCTAGTAAAACTAGAGGCTCTTTTTGCAGAACGTGACTCAAACCAACTCCCAGAATCATTAGTTCGGTGAGTATTCCAGCTTCGGCAGGTGAATATCCAAGAATGTGTTGCAATAGGTGGTGTGGTGAAGGACCAGGACCCGGTTTTGGTGACACATGAGAACCTCCTTGAACCAAAAAAGCACTGAACTTGGAGGGGTGCTCCTGTTGTCCGTCCGGGTCCCGTCGCTTTCCGTCGCTTCGACCGTCGGGTATCGGTCGTCAGGAGAAGAAGCGCCTTGAGAAGTCCTCAAAGCAGATGGAGAAGGAGAGACAGAATCCAAATCTTTTGACGAGCGAAGTCGACGAGGCTGTTTCCTCGATCAGAAGATGTGGGATTCGGATTAGATGAAGCCCATATTCATCTAGTTGGCAAAACTGGTGAGTCTGAAAGTCAACTAGAACCTGGAGTGCCAGCAGGTCTCCCTTTTCCTATACAATAAGCAGCATATCAAAAACAGCTTGTTTGGACCAAGCTGCGCTGGACATTCTTGGACCTACAAGACTGCCAACAACTTGCGGCACCATTTCTGGGGTAGTCACACCCAAATGGCTGTTGCTTTTGCAGCAAACTGTGTCAGTTTCGCACTGAAAAACATGTCGCAATGGCTGCAGCGCATTGTGCTCATAACTCAGTTGTCATGGATAAAGCAAGTGCGAGACCTTGGAAATCGGACGTCTCTATACCTATAATTCTTTTTGTGCAATCAGTGTCTGTTTGGTCAAAGTGACATGATTCATCACCTGTTGCCTTGGTACCTGCAACTCCCTACAACTCCACCGGCTCCTTCCTGTTCCGCTCCTCTTGTGCTGCCAAGAACGCCTATGTCCGGGGCCAGGACATCAAGAGCCTGGACTCCGGCCGTGAAGATCGCCTGAAGTACTTCGAGAAGCACATCGCAGAGCTGAAGAAGTCGGTGAAACAGAATGCGGACAAGATCGAGAAGCAGCGAGAAACTGGCTGGTGGTTTGGAAGATTCTTTTCCAGTTTTCTAGTCCTATTTGAGGGGTGGGGGTTTTCACAGTATTTCTTTTGGATATGTTACGAACCCAGGAAAAGACAGAACAAGCTCAAGTGGAAGTGGAAGTCCTTCGCAACGAGCTGTTGCAGATGGAAGGCAAAGAACAGGACAAAGGGTCACGAAAAGAACTTTTTTGGTCACGAATGGCTGCACATTCAATGGTCATGGAAAAAGGTGTTCTGTCACAAAAAGATTGGTCCGTTCTGCAGGACAGTGGCCGAGGCCAAGAATCGATCGCGGCGGAGATCGAGAGCATCTCTGAGTCTTTGTTCTCGAAGAAGGCTGACGGGCTGACGGAGGTTGACGCGTGTCTTGATGGATGGCCAAGCAACCTATGCAGCCTGCCCAAACGGGCCGCAAACGAATGGACCAACCTTCCTGCGGTTTGCTGGGTCGTTTTCGGAGCTGCGTGTCTCAGGCTTTTGTGTAAAGGTTGGGGCCGAGCTTGAGGTAGGTTTCAGGATTTTTGGCCAGACACTTCACCGGAGCAGATCTGGATCCTGCGTGCAATGTGTCGCTTAAAAGGATTTAAATTTAAAAGGCCTTGGCCAACAAACCAAAACCCGGGGCACAACACATGCTCACCCTCCGAGTGAGCGTGTTGCCCATTTGCCCATGCCTGTCGCAGGCATCATATGAGGAGACCGGCAAGCAGCTGGAGAACATGAGGTGTGGAGAACATGGGTCTTTTGGAACACAATCAGACAGCCAGTCTCTGGCCGTGCCCCTGAACCCTCTTCGTGTACTGTCCGGGCCGTCCGTCTGTCCTGGTCTGCGTTCTCGGCCCGGCCACGCTGACACCCTTTCTCCACCGCCGTGTCCGGGTCTGTTTTCATGTGGCTATGAATGCGACAGTGGTGCAGCGTTGCACATTTGAGATCATCCTCCGATTTTATCATATCACATAATATCACATTATATATATATAATATATATATATATTACATATCCCTTCGTTTTTGCACATGTGACCCGGGAATCTGGAACTATTGTTTTCAAACAGTGCTATTTCCAAACAGGTAGAAGCTTTCGGAACATGATTGCAGAATAAAGCAGACGTTGCGCCACCAACATTGGAATTCAAGGAGTTGATGGAAAACAGTAATGCTGAAACTGTTTGGGGTCGATGCTGGCGTAATTTTTTAAAAGACCATTGACCGCTGGGATAGTTATAGTATATATGTTATAGTTGTATTACTTTTCTCCGCATTGCTTGGTTGAACGGACGAGCCCAGATCGGGTCCCCAGTGGTTTTCGTGTCCCGCGGGGGACTGGTCCGCCTTCTTCGCCTCAGGGAGGAGCTTCAGAATCTTGGACCACGGAGAGGGACGGTGATTTTTCGACAGCTGGAGACGGTCCGAGTGTTTTGCTTCGCTTCTCACTCGGTCGGGAAGGAATAGCGGGAGAGTGAACTGAAGGGTCCGAGTGCTGTGGATTCGGAGGGGCGGAGCTGCTGGGAGCCGCAGCGCGGTGCGGAGCGGCACGGGGCGGTGCCGCGGTGCTGCGTCGCTGCTGAGGAACCTGGATGAGACCTTGCAGAAGTTGTCCGAGGAGCTCACACAGAACAAGCAGAAGCGCGAAGAGCAGGACCATTTCTTTGGGCCATGCGATATCTTTTCATGATTGATGAGTGGAAACTAGGGGAAACGCCACCTTGGATAGGGAGATTCCTGTGAGATTCGTGAGAGGTTCCATTGTTCTGATGCTTTTGGTATTCCTTGGCCGACACACTTGTGGCCAGAGGTCTTGGCACGTTTTGCACCTCGGAGCACGAACAAGCAGAATGCAAGGCACAAGTGAGTCATGCACAAATCAGCGAAATCCAGGCATATTTCACCAAGTCCTCCACATGCTTGGCTGCTTGACTCAAAATCTTAAGAACATCATATCTCAGCTATTTTTGCTTGGCATGTGTACATACACGGGAACTTCAACTGAGCAACCTCCATCCCCGGTGCAAACTGGCTCCTTTGCTCCTGAGTTCCCACAGAGCACTCGACCGAGCCGGGCGCCGGAACGGCAGTGAGCTCCGTACGGCCGCGAGCCGAGCGGAGCGGAGGAGCTGGAGCAGAAGCGGGTGACTCACAAGATCCAGCAGCTGCAGAAGGCCCGTGGGTCCACCGACCCGGTGGTGGGCCGACCGGGGGAACGGCCGAAGAAGAAGAGGTGGGCAGCGAAAAGACGTCTTTCTGGTGGAACCGCCCCCCCGCTACAGCGACCAGTTTACTTGCGCAACTAGAGTCTACTTAGTCTACTTTATGGTTTGGGTGGGGCAAGGTTCCCATCTTCCTGAACAGTTTGAACTCTCCAATTGTGTCCTGAGGACGACAAGGAGTCGCATGTGGTGGTGGCACGGATGGAGAAAGAGCACCCTTGGATTCAGAAGGAACAGGCACGATCTGACGGTTTGAGACATGTGATCACTGATATGTTCTGGTGCGATGTGGATTCTACACAGGAAGACGTGCGCGCTTGGCCAACAACTCTTGGATGACATGGTATGACCAAGTTCACATTGCCTTTCTCCCTCCATACTTTGCTGGCCGCGTTGCGTTTCTGTTGCCAGGCCCTTTTCGGAAAGAAGGGCACGGACTTCGACTTCCAAGGCAGCCGCTACCAGGACAACAAGCAGCGCCTGGAGAAGTTGAACACCGAACAGAAGAAGCTCAGCAAGAACATCAACAAGAAGGCCATTGGTTCGTGCACCGTCTTTTTTTGCACCGAGGGAGACGTCTCTTTCTACAGGAGTCGCATTAAAATGAGCCTACCTGAACGAATGGAGAGAGAGAGAGAGAGAGAGGAGGCAACGATAAACACGCGACCTATCTGATCAAGTGGCCACAATAAAGAGGACTGGATGCCTTTCAAGACAAGGGGTTATCAAGTTGTGGAATCCCACGGAATCTCTCTTAAGCCAGCCCGACCTGTTCAGCCGACGTTTCCAAGCTGCTCACAATTCACAATTGTTTCGCTTCAACGACAGGCCATGGTGATGTTTGAGAGAGCAGAGCAGGAGTACAAGGAGACGCGAGCAGAGAGACACGCTGCCAGTTCTGTTCCCTGCGACTCGCTGGTCCAAGCCCAATGTGCATTCCTCGTAATCCGTGTTCTCTTCATTTTGAGGTCAACCAGCTGCTTGGCCTTCCTGGCACTTAGCGCGTCTCGGAAGTCATCTCGCGCTCTGCAGGAGCTTCTCTCCAAGCGAGATATCATTTTGAATGACAAAGGCAAGATCGAGAAGGTCATCAAGGTGGGACCATGGGAGGAATGAAACGGGTGAGGTCATAGCTTTATTTGCTTCGTCGAAGATGACGCAGCTGCCCAGTGGCATCAATCTTAGGTCCGTCTTGGGTGTTCAGTAGGGTTTGTGCCATCTACTTTTGAAACCTTTTGAACCACTATGTCTAGTCATAGTGTCTCTAGCACATGAAGCTGTTATGATTCAGAAGACGCGCCATTCAAACTATGTATTCTCCAGAAAAGGATTCTGTCGATCAAAATCAAGTTATGATCCAATACCGCGTGACTGCATGCAGTTCAATAATTCGCAGTTTTTCCTCCAGTAGCTTGACAGACCAATGCAGGCCTTGCACGTTTGCAGCCAAAAGGGCGACTTCGGGTCAAAACGAGACCCGACACACCAAGCAGGGAGAAAACATGGGAACACATCTCTCCGCTTTTTGGACCAAGCGCTTGGACACAAGTCCTTGCTGCAAGGACTTGGACGAGAAGAAGACCGAGACGCTGCGCCGCACCTGGAAGAAGGTCAACAAGGCAGACCTGCGTTGCGCCGCAGAGACGTGCAGCGTTCGGATTGGTGGATTCAGTCGTCCGTCCTGTGCCCTCCGACCCATCGGATTGTTCGTTGCGAGAAGGGGCGACCGAAGGATTTTCGGTCGTCCTTTTTTTCTGGGGAGAGAGAAAGCGGAAGATCTGTTTGACTTCAAGGCATTTTTCTGCCCTTGTGTAGCTGTCCGCAGTTTTGCTAGGCTTCCATTCTTTTGCAAGCATCCTTTCCCTCCACCAGTTGTTCTAAATCCTCCATACTCAACAGAACTTGGTGCATCCACCTTTCACCCGTTGTCAAACAGCCTCCACAAAAGCCTCGCTCGTCGCTTCTCCGCTGCGAACCGTTGAACGAACTGTGGTAGGACTTCGACTCCATCTTTGGGACCTTGCTGCCGAACACCAACGCCAAGCTGGAGCCTCCGCAAGGCATGGATGAGACGGAAGGCTTGGAGATCAAGGCCAGGAACCGGTGAGGTTGGTTTTGTGCAACGGGTGAGTGAGACATTTGGGGAGTAGTATCATTTATACAAGTCTTCTTTTCTTTTGCTCACTTTACATGGATTCATGTGGTCGTGATTCACGTCGATGCCAGACTTACATGATTTTATATGGCAACATGTCGAACTGAGGCAGCTGATTCTGGCAGAGGTTGAAGCATACCTGGCCTTCTACTACTCTTTTTGGTTGATTTGTTGAGGGGGCTCCGACCCCCCCGGGTTCGGTCGGTCCTGAAGGTACCTGCCATCGACCCGCCGACCCGGTCGGAGGTCGCTTTCCATGGTGTTTGGAAGCAATCCCTGACAGAGCTCAGCGGCGGACAGCGCTCTCTTCTGGCACTCTCCCTGGTCTTGGCACTGCTTCTTTTCAAACCAGCTCCAATGCTTCTTGCCTCAGAAGAGATATATAGTTCTATTATATAGCCCTAGCCAGAAAGATTCCTGGAAGTGGCCAGATGGCAAGTACTTGAACTTACTTTTTCAGGCACTTGACGTCATCTCGTCGTTCGTTTCAGGTACATCTTGGATGAGATCGACTCAGCCTTGGACCTGAGCCATACCCAGAACATTGGCCACATGATCCGGACGCATTTTCCCCATTCGCAGTTCATCGTGGTCTCCTTGAAGGAAGGGATGTTCAACCACGCCAACGTGCTCTTCCGCACGCGCTTCATTGATGGAACCTCCACAGTGACGAGGTATGCCATCCGCGATGATGATGATCGAGTGGCAATGCCACCACAAAAGAAGGCCCGAAAAGAGGCGGCCAAGTGATTTGCAATGTGGCCACCAGGCTCCGGGAAGTCATGAGTTCCCAAAGCCAGGAGACGCCAACGGTGGCAGCTGGTTGTTTCATTTAATTCAGTGGGTGCAGTCTTTGCAGCTGGCTGCTGCGATGAGGGGTTGCCCAGAATGTCCTGCACGATCGAGCATACTAGGCATTCTGCTACAGAAAAGGCTTGAGATGTTGTCACATCATGTCGGCGTGCACAGACACTCATCGGAAGCCAAGAAAGCTGAATACCGAAGAAGACCATCTGTTTACTTGCAACAGGGTGATGTTTTCCGCAAAAAGCAGGAGGACCTGCTTGGATGACCATCTCCTTATCTCCGCTTTCTAGTTTGGACCTCCATTGCTTTGTTCCGTTCATCGTGTCCGGGGTAAACCTCGCTTCAACCTCGCGGGTTTCAAACGAACTGCGACACGGGTTCAGTTCTCCGGTGGTACTGCACCGGTCAGGTGCAAGGCCACCTGGCGGTGGGACGAGGGCTCACCACAGCGCTCTGCTCGGAGCCAGTGATCGACGTGACTTGGAATGCTCGATGCGACGACGACGCGACGGGCATTGGGACGGGCCCTGGAAAGCATGGTTGCAGCGTGGCGCTGGCTAGCCCACCACACCCTTGGCTTCTCAGCGGGTTGCAGCGGGTTCTAGCAGGTTGCAGACTATGCCAGGTCCTCTCTAACCACTCTCATCCTTGTGTTTGATATCTTCACGAAGCGCAAGACAGCTTCACAGACGGAGAGCGGAAGGGGTGGGGGTTCCGCGCAAGAGCCATTCTGCGGTGCACATATTTTTCTACAAAGATCCACACGTGTTCTAGGACCCTAGGATTCAGTATTTTGAGCGTTCTCATCCAATCAAGTCTGCAAAAAAAAATATATATATATATTGCAGAGCAAGATGTGTCAATGGCCAAAGTCTCAACTTTATAGGCTTCGATCGTGCTTCGTTTCTCCGGCCTTTCTAAGTATCATTCCTTTTTTTGCTGCCGGTTGGGTTGTGGTGATGGGGTGGAGTTATATCGTGGTGGTTAGGTGTTGGAAGGTACATCGACATCGTCGCTTTCGCCGTTTCCAGGTGGAGGCAGTGGAGAACCTTTGCAATGCTTCCCTGCAGGAGATCGACGCGACGCGATCGGAGAGTTGACCGGGAGGTGTCGCCCACGAGTCGACCGGGAACGGCTGGGGTGACGTTGGTCAATGTCTGTGGTGGCATAGACCGAAATCTCTGGTCCGTGTGGGACGCCCAAAGACACATAACCTTATTTCTGATGTATATACAACTAGACGACGAGTGGCCCGAAAGCATTTTTCATCACGTAGGAAGTCAGAGTGCGAGTTATCTGTTAAGTGTGCAGTGTGAAGTGTTAAGTCGAGTGAGTTGAGGTAGAGTGTGGGTTTCTGTGTGTGTATCTATGTCCGTGTGTATATGAGTCTGCGTATGTGTGTGTGTTCGTGTAAGTTGAGGCAGTGCGTGGGTGTCTGTGTGTGATGCGGCCTCCCAAACCCCCCACCGGCGGCCAAGCGGTGACAGCCCAGCTCATCGTCATGAGCATTTGAGCTGCTGGTCAGGGGAGAAGCAGCGTGCACGGCGCCAGGAAAAGTTCAGGGAAAAAAACGAGCCGGAATGAAGACAGAAAAGTGCCGAGGCAGGTACGCAACAAGTGTGTCAAAGCAGTGACCTGTCAGAGGAGATGCGTCCAGCGATGTACGATCAGAGGTAACGTTTCCTTCACTCCAGGACACTAGCTTTTCCAGGATGTAGTCAACCAACCACTATGCTTGTCATTGACTAAATGACTGTGTCCAAGAAAAACGTGACAAAGTAGCATGAGGTGACACACAGCAGGCACTGTAGATGTTTAGCGTACTCTCGCTGTTCAGCTCGCGACCAGTATTAGAGTGAACGAAGTAGCGCGCAGGCCTCCCAAACCCCCCACCGGCGGCCAAGCGGTGACAGCCCAGCTCATCGTCATGAGCATTTGAGCTGCTGGTAAGGGGAGAAGCAGAGTGCACGGCTGCAGGGAATCTCACTGAAAAAACCGAGCTGGAATGAACACAGAAAATGCTGAGGCAGCCACGCCAGAAGCGTCTCGAAGCAGTGACCTGTCAGAGGAGATGCGTCCATCGATAAATATCTTCCGGGCAAAAACGTTTACTTCACTCCAGGACACAGCTTTTCTAGGATTAGTCAACCAACCACTATGCTTGTCATTGACTAATTGACTGTCTCAAAGAAAAACGCGACAAAGTAGCGTGAGGTGACACACAGCAGGCACTGTAGATGTTTTAGCGTACTCTGCTGTTCAGCTCGCGACTAGTCTTTGTACACAGAAAAGATAGTGTTGTGCTTCCGCAGAACGACGTCCACACAGGATTTGTCAGGAAGAAGTCACGGTGTGAGACATGCAGTTGGTTATCATGTGAACATCGTATTATTTTTTCATCTCCATTCAGGGTATTTGCCTGGTCTGGGTCTAGCAAGTCTAGCGCGCCGACCCGAAGCAGATCTGGATGGCGTAGGCATCTGCGCAGTTGCGGCTGTTGTTCCTCACCCAGTCTTCCCATCCACTGGACCACCTGATCACTCGCCAAAACTGCCAGGTTTCTCCATGGGCAGCCCAGTGTCTGGTTTCTGTGGACTGGTTTGGCCATCTTTCATGGATGAGCTCTGGCTGGTTGTCATGGTATGTCCTGCTTCCATAGGACCAACAGAGGCACACCTGTCTCTGGTCATCATGGGTGACGCTGAAGAAGTGGTCGTCAACAATGCCAAGGTTCCCTGGCATGATGGCTGGGCAAAGAGGGGGACCTACGAGCTAGTGGGCTGCAAATTGGTAAATAGCACATGCGTAGCCATAAGAAGGCTCTGTTTGCCTTGTAAAGGTTTATGTGGGAAATGAATATTGCAAAAGCTTGTGGGGTGCGTTCAAACTTCTTGCAAGTATATTCTTCATTGCTGTTGAGTTGATATTTTGGTAGTTGGCCCAAGTTGTATGGAGACTTCTGCAATGTCACTGTGAGCACCGAAAGGTCAGCCACGGAAAATGCACAGTCTGTTGGCGCAGGCGCTCTGAGGGTGACATGCGGATGTAGTTAAGAACCACTATGCTGCTCATTTTCTAATCGCCTCTCCTACAGAAAAATGCAACAAAGTAGCGCGAGGTGACGCACAGCAGGCACTGCGCATGTTTTAGTGCACTCTGGCCGTTCAGCTCGCGACTAGCCCTTGTATATGGAAGAGACTCCCCGACATTATGTCTAGTACTTGTTGTGCTTCTGCAAAACGACGTCCACACAGGATTTGCGAGGAAGAACTCATGGTATGAGACATGCGGTTGGTTACCAGGTGAACATCTAGATGACACCCTGCGTCGGGGAGACTCTCACTGCATTGTGCTCTCCGGAGACACGGCGGCGACCATCTGGGCCAACTGGGCGGCGTCGAGGGTGCCATCTGTTGACGCGTCCGCCAGTGGGATGCGGAGCGGTGGGTCCGCTTGAACAAACCTGCCAGTCTGGTCGTGGTAGCCGCTGAGTTCGACGCAATCGGGCGGTGTGGTATTCGCGGCGCGGGCCGCTTCCCATGACCGCCCAAGACGCTGGCATGGTCGACAGACAAGGTGATCGGCGTCGCACAGGGTGCAAACGGCGTTGAACGGCCGCAGCGAACAAGCCTCGCACCAGGAATGCGTCCACTGCCCGCAAAGTTCGCATGGTTGGGCTCCGAGGTCTCGTCCAGGTAAGTTTTCAGCCGCAGTGACCAGCGCAAACGCCGCCCTCTTGGGAAAAGATCGCTGGCGCTCCTCGCGTGGCACTCTGCGATGGTCCTCGCGCGGATGTAGGCGCAACCAAACCTTCGCTTCCGCGACCCACGCTTCCCAAGCCACTGGGCGCAGGGCAGTCATGGCACGGCGGCGTGGTGAGAGGAATGACGACGAGGTGTGCTTACAAGTGACTGGCTGCGAAGCACCGGAACCCAGTTTCCAAGTATCGCTGACACAGTGTACAATCGTGTGCCCTGTGGTATTCGTCTTCGGCCCTCGCCCGTCCTCCCCTTCGTAGAAGAGTACACCTGGCGAGAAAAACAAGAGGGTTGGCGAGAAACCTCTCAGATGTCTCTTGTGCTAGGCTGTTTACTGAATGTAAAGGCTGAAGCTCAGTGTGGCACCGCGCCGATTAAGGCGCCAAGTCTCACTGACAGTGTACAAGCGTGGGTACTGAGGTATTCGTCTTCGTCTTCTGCCCTCGCCCGTCCTCGCCTCCTGGTAGAAGAGTATACCTGGCCAGAAAAACAAGAGCTTTGGGGAGACACCAATAAGATGTCTCTTATGCTAAGCTGTTTGCTGAGATTAGAGGCTGAAGCTCACTGTGGCGCCGCGCCTATTTTTGTTTGCCTGGGCCATCTAGTCCGCGCGGCGACACTTCTGCAGAACGGCGTTCATGCCGTCGCGGTGATACACTTTCGCAGAACGGCGTCCATGTCCCGAGCCTCTCAGAGACCAAAAGCCGCGTGAGCATGCTTGGACAGCAAAGTCTCCCAATGCTTCAGTGCCCATAGAATATAATCTCGATTTTTCCATGGGCGCAAGGAAGGTCGGCGCCGCAAAATCTGTTCAATGGCTTCCTGCGCCTGGAAACCTTCCCTGGCCATCAACATCGCGGTCAGTGCCGTGGGGCTGCGATGTATGCCACCGAAACAATGGAAGAGCGCAACTTGTTTCTGCCCCAGCATGGCACGCCTGGCATTCAAAGTGCGTGCGATCTCTGACCATACCCGACAGTTCCTCTGGGCCTGCTCCGCGTACAGCGTCGGATCTTGGGTGACTTTGACCGTCAAATCGTCCAGAGCGTACACACATTGTTGGGCACTGTGCAGGCGTAAATATGAATCCCAGCTCTCTGGTGTCCCTTTGGCCTGCAAGCCCTTGGCACAGAGCGTCGCGAGCGTGTTCACTTGGACGCCGCAGCTATGTGCCACGTCGGCCAAGTTCGCCGCGGATTTCAGACTGTCCAGGACATACACCATATCGTCGACTCATAGACGATGGTCGCGTCCAAGGTCCACGCACGGAGATCTCCCAAATTGTAAGAATGGTTCCAAATGACATAATCCAGATGCCTCCATGGCCCATGGTTGAAGTACGTCTGAATGAGATCCTTCATATTGTCGATCCACTCTTGCGCACAAAGTTCCACAGGCAATTGTGGCAGGGATGGCTGCAGGTGATTCATACCAGGGCAATCTGTCCGAAGCCTAGATGTTATGAATACTGGAGCCAAAAAGCTATAACCCTGACAGAAATGGTTAGTTGTTGTTGAAATGGTCAAGAACCAGAAACTAGTGCCAAAAGAAGCTTGCGTGCTATCATAGATCTAAAGCCGAGCTTTTCTCTCTGGGATCCCGTGCCTCGCTGACGCGTTGTGTTCACCCCAGTACCGAACTTCTTCAGAAGCACGTCCATGCCTTGAGAGACAATAGCATCAGATCTGGACCAACACGCAAAGCAAACTCTAAGACAGAAGCAGAGTACTCCTCCTGACTATAATGAAAGGAAACTGTCATGGTACCCAAGAGACACAAGAGCGTCTGTCGTGGTATCTTCGCGCAGCATGTGCGTATGGACAAATGGCGGCTGTGCAGACGCTGCTTCTCGCTAGGGCAGATCCCAGTGAGGCCTCTCGACACCGCCAGGAAGCGAAAGGCAGCCGCGGTCCTTTGCACGAAGCCGCTTCTGGAGCTCCTACTGGAACACAAGACCGATGCCAACATAAAGGGTGTTTACAAGGGTCAATGGAGGACTCCGTTGCAGATCGCAATTGAAAAGCGCCATGTTGATCTGGTCAAGCTCCTGCAGATGCCTCCACATGCTGGGCCAAGAGCCACTTCAGTTGTTGTTGAAATGGTCAAGAACAAGAAACTAGTGTCAAAAGAAGCCTTCATGCTATCATGGATCTAAAGCCGAGCTTTTCCCTCTGGGATCCCGCACCTATAATCCCTCTGTACAGACTCAATCGCACTCTCGCCTGCATTTCGCGCGCTCGACGCGCACGATCTCCGCAGAGGGTTGCGCGCGTACACACCCCATCGCGCTCTCGCCTGCATTTCGCGCACGCGACACGCGCGATCTCCGCAGAGGGTTGCGCGCGCAGCCGGCAAATCGCACTCTCGCCTGCGTTTCGCGCGCTCGACGCGCACGATCTCCGCAGAGGGTTGCGCGCGGACCCGGCGCATCGCACTCTCGCCTGCATTTTGCGCAATCGACGCGCACGATCTCCGCAGAGGGTTGGGCGGGCAGCCGTCAAATCGCACTCTCGCCTGCATTTCACGCACTCGACACTCACGATCTCCGCAGAGGGTTGCGTGCGCACCGACGCTGTTCGTCCCACCCTCCGCCTTTAAGAGAGAATTTATAGAGTGGGGAAATGTTTTTTTATTAGGACATCTCCCGTGGTAGTTTTCCTTACTCACACTTGCCGGATGCCTACTCATTGCATGCTTGCATACTCATTGCATGCTTGCATACTTACACTTGCATACTTCCACTTGCATACTTTGACACTTGCACTTGGGGTACGTTTAGCGTTCATGTTGTCGTGCAAGTGTGGTGAAAGTGTCAGTGTGTAAGTGTAAGTGTCGAAGTGTCAGTGTTCAAAGGATTTTCCGGAAGAACCCTTCGCAGTGCTTTCGGGAAAAACAAACAAGATGGACGTTGGGGCGTGTGAGGTCCTAACGAAAGCCACATCTCACGCCGCGAAAACGAAAGCCGAAAGCCACATCTCACGCCGCCAAAAGCGGCGTCTACGCGGCTCACTCGCTTTTGGGAGGCCAGATCACAGCCAGCTGCGATCTGGCTGCTTTCCTTTTTCCATTTATGGTTTCTTGTCCATGTCAACTCATTTCATGTCACTTTTCTTGGTCCAACTCCAAAGCTTGACAGGTTCCTTGCGAACACAACAGAACATGCACCACATTTCATCTCACCTATTGCACTTCACCTCACTGCAGTGGCTTTGCCTGAAAATCGCAGGATGCGCTCATGGTGGTGTACCTCTCCAATCTCACCCGCACGCAGATTTCCATTGCAGATCCTGGACGCAGAAATTGAGGTCTTTTCGACCAGTGCTAGCAGTGCTAGCGTGACATTTGTTGAGAGTTCTGACTTCAATTGCTCTGGGGTCAATAGGAAGTCTTTTGGTTTTTTGGAGCAAGGAAACTCCCACAAGTCACACTTTTGGGATGCATGACATGTCCTGGGCCTGAACAGATTGTTCCCCAGAATGCCCTCTCTCACAATCAGTTGACCAATTCCGATCAGTTCCCGTTCTCTTCGTTCTTTTCGTTGGTCAGGGCAACCCTGCTGTCGTAGATGCCGCTGCTTCGAGCCCTAACCCTTGGATACCCTGAAACCCTCCATCCACAGGTTTTTCCACGGAGCCAACCGAAAAGATCAGCACACTCCTTTCCCGCGTCGTTTCCTCGGGCCGCGTCGTTTCCCCGAGGAAAAGATCAGCGCGCTTTTCGGACTGGCGCCAGAGATGTGATTGCACTGACGAAAGGCCAGGGCACCCGAACGCTCGGCCCATGGATTGGGGTCAGAGAGAGCTCGAAACCAGCAGGGCCTTCTTGGAAGAGGGAACCAGATGATGACGTGTGTATATACTGTGTATATAGTTATATACGTACATATTTTTAAGTGTCTTCTTTTAAATACGTACGTTTGGGTTCCGATGTTGATCATTGAAGAAGTACCTTCACGTGCTGTCAGACGTCAATCCTGCTGGGGTCATGCCGCTGCCTGGTGACACAAACTACTCTAAATGACGAGAAGTGAGATCAACCTATGTGATCATGCCAATCCTCCTGGGATTTCAGAAGCTTTTAATCATGGCTCTAAACATGTGTTGTTGATACCTCTTACAGGCTGAAGTTTTGAAGCGTTTGGTGTCGTCATCCACAAGATGGACTGACGCCCTTTCCGCTACAAACAGCAATTGCCACCGCGCTACATGGTGCGTGGCGATGTGGGCAATAGCCTGAAGTCCCACAACCAACCAAAAGTCCGCAAGGAAACGCAGATTCGGGGGCCCGGCCCAAAGAGATATGGGGTGATGACCTTTCAGATACCAATGGCCTGTATTCATGGCCAAATAGATCGAGCTGACGTGAATCTTTACCTCAGCCAATTTGGAAGAGTCCAGTCGTTCCCTGTCAAATTTAAGCGGTTGGAGTTGGAGAAGTCTTGCTTTTAGAAGCCCAAAACCACCGCCAAGACACGACCGGAAGACAGAACTGCCACCGACCGGTATTGCCCAGAAGCCCTGCATCAGCCAGAGATGTCTTTGGCCGCCACCAAAGACGACCTCTGCAGCGCTCCAGAAATGGAGTGGATCGGCCAAAGAAGGGTTTTGTAAGCGTGTGCGCGCCTTCGAAGAGAGCTGGGTGTGGGTCAAAGCCAGAGAACCTTGGTTCACCGTGGACCGTGCCCAGAATGTAGACACCTATAGTGTAGCAGGATTTTGCAGCTTGGTTTTGACCTGCAGCCATCTGCGTGTGGGTTTGGTGGTGGTGGTGGTAGTAGTAGTAGCAGCAGTAGCCCTAGGCTCGGTCAATGCTTTTTACTATTTGCTTCATTTTGGGGCTTGCACGGTTTGGCTGTGAGGGTTTGACTTTGCATCATGTGTGTCAAGGGGCAGGCAGATTTGTTGAACATTTGGCTCGCCATGGAAAACTACGTGCAGCTCTTGACATGTATTTGATCGTTTTTCATTTTGAGTTATAGCTGCCAGCGACATCCTTCGTGCGACATCTTGGCCCCAGTTGAATTGGCAGCTCTTCTTTGTCTTCCTCGTGGAGCATGATCTTCCACAACTGGCTGATGAACTTGATCCAACTTAGCTACAATGAACAGCTAAAACAGCAAGTTCCAGACTGTTTCGAGATTTGGTGAACGTTCCCTGCTGGTGGTCCAGTCACCCTTTGAGTGTGTATTTTCGGGCTGGTCATAGATTCCAGACTATTCTAACCACACTTGCCACAACCTTTTTGCCTAGAGATCCCCTTGCTTCAAGCAATGGCGGGATATCAGGACTCTTGGTACAGTTCAAGCCATGCAGTCAACACGCTCGCGAGTTACTCTGGTTACTCTGGATGTGTTCGGCCAGTCCCCCTTTTTCAGCTCGCCAGGAGAGGCCTGAGACATGGCTGAAGGAGCAATTCTTTGGACCTCTCCATGATCAGTTCAAATTGGGGAAACGCTTGGGCAAGGGAGGCCCGGCCACAAAACGCTTGTTTTGTCGCTTCAGAGCAGCACCGTGTCCTCTCCATCACGACGTGTCCGGTCGGTGTCGGGTTGCGGAGCGGCCGATGCAGGTCAGGCGACTGTCTACGAGTGCACACGAGTGAGGACCGAGAAGAAGTATGCCGTGCCTTGATCGACCAGTATATCGCAGGATCTCGCGAGTGGGGGATGGAATTCGAGCGCCACAGATGCGAGTGGGAGGCCAGAAGGCTGGCCATGGAAAAGATGCCTCCAGCATCCTCCAGCTGCAGCGTCATCCTCCAGTGTTTCCTTTCAGGGTCAACGTTCAGGTATGTAGTTAAGTATTGATGACTTCATTTCATGTCATGTCATTTCGCCTGCCTGGGTGACTCTGCGCTATCTTTGGCACCTGGTCTTCGCTTGCAAGGTGAAAGTCATTGAGATGAAAGCGCTGAACTTTCAGAAGAATGACGGGGAGCAGAACCTACGACGGGAGATCCGCAACATGGAGGACACATCCATCCTCCGCAACGACGGGAGCACGGCCATGGAGCCCAGAAATTCCGACTTCCATCCTAAACTTAGCTCAGCTCCAAAGCTGGCCATTTTGCTTTACATTTATTGCCCGAGACACAGAGATACAGGTAGCCAACTCCTTGAGATGTGAAATGACTGTGGCCAGGAGCTTTTTCACCCACGGATCGTGAACCTGCTGACACACCTGTATGAGGCCGGCTCCAAAAACACTTGCAGCATTTTTGGCACCGGAGCTGCGAAGTGAAGCAGGAAAGTGCATCTTAGTCGACTTGTGTGGGTCTTTTTAGTGGGTTGTCTTGATGCTTGGCTGGGTGGTTGGTGGCTGAGTTCAAAGACATTCATTCAACTTTGTCCATCCAGTGCCTGAGTCGAGGAAAACAGGTGTTGGCTGGTCATGGACCTGGCTCGCGGGGGAGACTTGCACAACAAGATCCTCGACGAGGTGAACATCTCCATGAGTCGAGGCCGGTCGCACGCTGGTCACTGAGAAGATCTTGGGGATTGGTGGATTTGTTTGACAAGGGCATTGAGGGAGGTGTTTCTCCGTAGAGGCAAGAATCCTGCGTGTGGGCTTGCC